CTGAGGCCACACACCCACTGCAGACAGAAATGTTCTTAACTCCTGTATGACCCATCTGAGGAGGATTTCTGGAAGAAGAGTTGTTTTTTCAAATCAAGAAGATTTGAAGCTGTGAGAAGGACAGACAGAAAAACAGGCTGACAGCTTAGGGCAGTCAGAGGGAGCTGGACAGGCCTGGGAGGAACATTCAGAGTATCGAGTGCTTAGGATTTGTAAGATTAGGATTAGGCTCAGGGTTGGGGTTGGGATTGGGGTTTTGTGGCCAGTTGGCTGTGGAATTGTAGCTTCTCTGTAAGTGCAGGTTAAGTATCTCTTATTTGAAATGCTTGGGACCAGAAATATTCTGGATTCAGGATTGGGAGGATCAGAATATTTACATACACATAGTGAGATACCTTGGGGATAGGACCAAGTCTAAAGATGAAAGTCTTTTTTGTTTCGTATATACTGTTTACACATACTTCAGAGGGAATTTTATGTGATTTTTTAGTGCACCTGGGTTTTTATTTTGATCCGTTGCATGAGGTCATGGTGGAACTTTCCACTTGTGGCGTTAAATTAGCGCTTGAACAGTTTTAGGTTGTAGAACATTTTGGATTTTGCATTTTTTGATTTGAGATACTCGACCTGTATCTCTGTGTCACTTTCTCTTAGCATCTCAGTCTCCTCATCCATAAAATTCCTTTCAAATACAGTATTTTGTTCATTCAATGGAATTACTTGCATGACACATTCAGTGTAGGAGCAGGCACATAGTGCCCACTGATGGTAGAAGTCACCGTGATATTACACAATTAGACAGACAGATATGCAAAATTATGGCTGCAGTAACCAAGCGTCTTTTGAGCAGGAGAGGAGAATATTAAGCTGTGTGCTTTGAATCTGAAGCCTAAGCTAGGAGCAGGGATCCTGGCTTGAGTTTTGGTGGAGAAAGCCTGGGTAAAAGCCAGACTGGACTTATGCTGTGGCTTTGTTTCATCTAAGCAGCGTGATTTCTTCCCAGGTGGCCCCAAACATCCAAAAAATGAGGGACTTTTCTCCTTATGAAAGGGGTTCAAAGAGGCTGATGAAGGTACTTAGGTGAGCTGGAGCTCCTTGCCAATGAGCTGGGAAGCAGAGAATTTGAGCGAGAGAAACAAAATCATGGTTTGAGAAAGAAGCAAACCCCACTGCGGATTGCCCAGAAACACAGAAACAGAAAAGTCAGAAACCAGAGAAAAACAAAACAAGTGTCATGCAATAAATAAAAACTAGGAGGAAAACACTATATATGTATGTATATATTTTTCTCAGAGAAAAAGAGAGCACCAGGAAATAAGAACTCATCTTTACAAAGTACCAGATATTACTTAATTTTCAAAACTCACTTTGTAATGCAATGGCAAACAGAAACACCAAAGTGGTACCTAGGATTTGGAGGCAGATTCATTTTATGTCAATGAGCACTGATCAGGATCATTCCCGAAACATCAGGCCCCAATCTCTGATGGTCTAGGGCTTCTATGGAACATGCAAGCAGGAAGTACAGAAGCAGAAAGCCTTGGCAGTCAGGGTTGGCTTGTACAGTGTGTATCCTGGTGACCAGCTATGCATCACAGTGACCAGCTGTTTCTAGAAGACAGGAACAACCCGAGCTGGAACCCGAAGTATCACCTGGGCAACCAAGAAACTGAAGTACACGGACGAAATTCTGTTACAGTAACAAGTGGCAAAGACTCAGCTAAATTTTAAATTTAATTTTAAATTAAATTTCTTTAATGTCAACCTACTGCTTTGATAATAAACGTTAAAATGTTGAATTTGTACGTTCTTGTTCGAACCTTTATGATTTTTGCAACTCAGAATATTTAAAAAGGGATCTTTTATTTCAGTACAGTTCTTTTCCTGTGTTGATTTCTCAGCTGCTGCAGGTGTGTTTTATGGCACAGGTGGTAAGTGTGAAGTCACTCAAGGTGAACTCCTGCAGGTCCCCAGATTAATCATGCTGTGTTTTACCAACTGTCACCTCAAGACAGACATTTACATTGTTTGTTCAGGGAAAGGAAAATGTTAGGCACGTTGAATCTTTTGCCTTCGAATGTGAATCATTAAAAACATTACAAAGGTGTTCAGACGTTAAAAGCTCGTTAACAGCAGAAACTCAGCTATTTGCATGCAGCTGTTAATGCACTTCTCTTATAGGATATTCAGAATTTGGAAAGAAAGCACTATCCTTTTTGCTGTCCTCACTTTCCAAAGACAGCTCCCTTTAGACCAAATTGGGTAAGGGAATATGATCATTTACTGTCCACACGAGAAGTTAGGTGAACTCTGAAGTCATTTCACAACCCGTGTTTACATTCCTGCTCCTCTGGAGGAGCCTGTGTCATCAACTCACTGGGTAGAGAACTCTGTGTGTGCTGAGTCAGGCCCACAGACAAACAAGGCAAGGAGATTGTCTCCAGCAGAGAAATCAAGGGCCACCTGAGGTATCTTCAGTGGGATAATAAAACTCAGAAATATCACATTTGCAAGACACTTTCTCTTCCTTATCTCATCTGGCCCTGAGGATCATCTTCCAACGCAGACTGGACAGGTAGCAGTCTCTCTAACACCCAGAGAGGCACACAACTGTCCCAAGCAGGTTTGGCTTGGCTGGGCTTCATGTTACTGAAGTGCCTCCAAAATTGGGCACCTCCTGGAGTCAGCATGTATGTTAGTACACCCAACTGCCTGTTCTTCGTTTTTTTGGGTTTTTTTTGTACTGTAGATTGAACCCAGGGCCTTTGCACTGAGCTGTATTCCCAGCCTTTTGCTTTATTTTATTCTGATTTTTATTTTTTGAGACAGGTTCTCACTAACTCACTAAATTATCCAAGTACCATGCTGTGGTTTTAGAGTCCCTTAATAGCTACAATTGATTAAACATGGTGAAGATGTAACACTGCCCTTGAACCTGTCTCTGTTTCCTCCCTGCAGCATTTCACAGGGTCACATGACCTCAGTCCAGCCCTGACTGGTCACCTCCTCAGTGGCACTGCAGGTAACAACCTCACCTGAGTTCTCTGGAGGGTGATAAGGCAGATCTGCTCTTAGAGATCACGTGATGGATGGCGTGAGGTGGCTCTTGGGGACTTCAAAGCACTTGGAGGACTTGGGACATTATCACTGTAAGTTCAAACTCTGAACAAATAGATCTTCCTACCACTGAATATATTTCACTCAATATTTTCGAGTTCTTTCATACTTTCTCCTCTTCTGTGATGCCAGAACTGGGTTTGGCTTTTGAAGATGTATAAATTTACACTGTTTTCCTGCTTGGCTTTGGTATTCTTACACATGGGGTTGTGATCTTATGATTAAACACACACACATACACACATCATATGTTGGAATTCTGGTGAGATTACTTAAAAATTTATGGCCTTACTCTCAATTTCTTATCCAAAAAATGGGGAGAATTGTAACTATCTACTAGGGAGATGAGGATTAAAGGAGATGATGTTCAGTAAAAATGGTGATGCATGTTGTTATACAACTTTTTCTTGGTCACAGTTTTTTCAATAATCTTGGGGGTTAGACATTTCAATATGTTTAGAAAGTCTGAATCAAGTTGCAAATTCACTCTTAGGAGGCCAGATTAATGGATATATTTCTTTTAATTTGGACAGTGTTCATTTATCCAAAGTGCTTACCAGCATTTAAAAATCCAACAATTAAAGCTGGGTGTGGTGCGAATGCCTGTAATCTGGGCACATTGGAGGGGCTGAGGCAGGAGGATCTTTAAAGCTGGAGGTCAGCCTGGGCTACATGGTGAGTTCAAGGCCTGCTGAACTACATAATCAAGACCATCTCAAAAAACAAAACAAAACAATCCAAACTGACCAATCACCCAAACAATCAATATCCAAGGCAATTTGGTCTGCCAACCAGTCCTTTGCTCACTATATATACTCAAGAAATTTTCACTAACTGCTTAATATCATTCTCTTGCATGATATTACAATGTCTATCACAGATCTAAGCAATCAATTAGTCAGTCAACAAGTCTTTATTGAATCTCTACTATGTACCAAACAGAAGTTGCTTCATAACTAAATTGCTTCCATTGATCTCATCAAAAAGAAAAATTGCTATGTCCTCCCACAAATCACCTCAACTGAATGAGTCATGGCTCTATCCTTTTGAGATAGTCACATGAAGTCCTTCAGAGCAACCAGAAAGAGCCTGGATTTCTAGAACTGCAGAATTAAGGAGTCTGGGTAGTGGCTGGTTGAGACCCTGGGCACTGAGACAGGCAGACCTGGATTTGAATACAGACTCCAGCACGTGGCAGATTTGTGACATGGAGGACATAATTACTTGATACTTCTGAATCTCCATGGCCTCTTCTCTACCCGTTCATAGAATTTCATGAGGGCGAAATGGGATGTGTGTGAATGTTGGCACTGGAAGGGAGGTCAGAGAGCTCCTTCTCTGAACCGACCATCATTTCCTTAAATGTCTGATTCTAGAACAATCCCCTGTGGCCCTGTGGCAGTGTGCTGAGAGGCCAGAGCTCTCCTTCCTGCTCTTAGTCTTCCCTCCCTGACTCAGCCCACACCTTGGGTCTCTGTGTTCATCGCATCACAGGGCTTGGCCTAAAGAGGTTAAAAGCCAAGACTAAACCCAGGCTAACCAGCCAGCCTGGTCCTCAGCCCTGCCTGGGACCCCTGGGCCCCACCTGCTTTGAATTTGTTTGGGATGTGGACTGACGAAGACCAGAGAGCCTTCCTGTGTCACCACCCACTCCTGATCTCAGCACGGTGCTTTCCGGTCACCCTGTGTCTGGAAGAGCAAGCTCTCCCAGTCTGCACTGGGCCACTGCCGGTGTGATGCCTTGTGTCCCAGTCATCAACCCCAGGTTCATTTTAATTACTCCCATGAGCAGATGACACATGTAGAGGGGCTAACGGGGTCATTACCTGGGTGGAGTGCCAGCCCTGCTGACTAAAAGAGTGTTTCACTCTGGCCATGGAGAGCTAGGAGGAAATCATCCTCCTGGACTACCCTCAGGACCCCTTCCAGGGCATCCGGAGGCCGCACGCTGGAGCCTGGGTTTGGGGGAGCGTGCACAGACAATATGAGCCACCAGATAGCACCTGTGCACTTCCAGGCCCTGTACCCAGCTCCTGGGGCGTGTCCTGCCTGATTTTCCTTCTTACGAGCCAAGATGTGATCACAAGAAGCACACTCACACATTCATTCTACCAAAAATCTTTAGTAGTTTTATTGAGCTAGAACTCGGGTATCCTAAAATTAACCTATTTAGAGCGAACAGTGAATGATGTTTAGGATGTTCACACAGCGGTATAACCATCACCACAACCAATTTGGGAACATCTTCATCGTTTCTCAGAGAAACACCCTACTCGTTAAGCTGTTACTCTCCCTTTCTCCACCATATTCCTCCCCGAGCCGTGACCGTTGACAAATACTTCCTCTGTGTAGACAGAGATGGACAGCACTGCAATCAAAATTACAATATTTCTACCTCTCCAAAAAGCTCTCCAGTCTTTCCTCACTCAGCCTTCTGTTCTCATTTTCAGTATGAATTCATTTTTTTCTAATTGTAGAATGCTCTATAATGCATTTAAATATGTACTCTCCCGTGCATGGCTTTATTCAGAGGACACATTGTTTTTGAGATTAATTCATGTTAGTATTTAGCAGTAGTTTGTTTCTTGCTTGTTGCTATTAACATCCCATTGTATGACTATGCCACAATTTGGTTTTCCCTTTATGGCTGGATTGACATTTATTTCCAGTTTGGAGCTGTTAAGAATAAAGCTTTTATGCATATTGACATGTTTTCTTCAAGGATTTATGTTCTCATTTCTTTTAGGTAAATACCAAGGAGGGGGATTGCTCGGTCATGTGATGAATGTATGTTTAACTTTTAAGAAGTACTGGACAGTTTTCCAAGGTGGCTGTACTATTTGCATACCCACCAGTTGCTTGACATCTTAGCCAGCACTTGATATTATCATCCTTTCTGAATTTTAACTATTCCAGTGGGTGTGTAATGATATTTCAATGTGGTTTCAATGTGCATTGCTCTGACATTTAATGATATACAGCATCTTCATTGAACTTATTGGCCATTTTCATATCTTTGGTGAACTATTGCTTCAAAATTTTCCCTCTTCCTCTTTTGAGTTATCTCCCTCTTTATTACTGAATTGTAAGACTTTTTTGTATTCAGAATACTTTTTGTAATTCTTAGATGCACATTTATCAAATATTTTCTCCCAATTTATGATTTTTCATTTTTAACTGAAAAGTTCTTTATTTTTACAGCAATCTAAGAAATCAGTTTTTCTTTTATCATTCATGTTTATCATGATTTATCTAAAACTCTATGCCTAACTAAAAGATTTCCCACTAGATTTCTTCCTAGTTTTAACTGTTACATTTAGATTTATGATCTGTTTCAAGTTAACATTTATATATAGTGTGAAGTAAGGGCCAATGTCATTTTTTAATTGGGTATTTTGAGTTACTCTGATATCATTTGTTAAAAAGAATACTTTTCCCCATTGGACTATCCAGGCATTTTTTTCAAGCATCAGTTGGCTATATAAACGTAGGTCTATTTCTGTGTTCTATTTTGGTTCATTGTTCTGTGTACCTGTCTATCTGCTAACACTTCTCAGTTGGCTGACAGTTTTACTGTAAGCTTGAAATAGGTCACTGTATTAGTCCTCAGATTCTTTTTTGTATTTTTAAACTTGTTTTTACTATGCTAAGGCCTTTGTATTTTCATATAAATTGTAAAATGGGCTTTTCAGTGTCTACAAAATGAAATTTTCTAAAACTTTAGGACTGCATTAAAATTATATGTGGATTTGAATAGGGATGACCTCAACAATATTGAGTCTTTTGATCCAAGGACACAGGATATCTCTCCATTTGTTTAATTCTTCCTTTAATTTTTCTAGTTTCTAGTATATGGGTCTCCCATATATTTTGTTAAATTTATCTTCAGGAAGTTTATGTTTGTTGGTTATTGTAGATAGTATTTTTCATTTTTATTTTAAATTGCTAATTTCTTAGAAATACATTTGGGTATTGTATATTAATTTCAGATACCATAGCCTTGTTAAAACACATGTTAAGTTCCTTGTTGATCTTTTACATGTAGATTGTTATGGCTTGTTAATAAAATGTTTTATGGGTCCTAATATTTTTTTCCTCCTTATTTCGTTGTTCCATGTTGAATAAAAACAATGCAAGCAGACACTTTGCCTTGCATTGATCTTTAGGAGAAAGAATTCAAACTTTTATCATTATCTTAGCTGTATATTTTTCATGGAAGCCCCTTATCAAGTTGTGAATATTCTGTTTTCCAAGAATTTTTAATCAGAAATGAAAATTTAAAATGTGTTAATCTTTTTCTGCACACACCAAAATGATCATTTTTTTTCTTTTTAATATGATGATTTGATGAGTTAGTTTGGTGACATAACTAATTAATTTTTAACACCACTCTTAGTGACTTCAATCAGAGAAGAGCAGAAGCCTGGCTTGGAGGTTTCCGTCATTATCTAGGTTAGGAGTGAAGGGGTTGGACGTAGTGGATATGTTGCTGACAGCTTGCATGGGAGGAATGATGATCACGCCAAAGAATTTACGTGGATAATTGAATGGATGAAAGTGTCACATGTAAAGGAGGCTGCCATTCTTGGCTAGGGGCTTTGGTGGCAGGAATCAACACAGCACTAAGAATAGTCTCACACACAGCACTGAGCACCGAGGCGATCGCCCAGAATATCAGATAGAGTAGGAGCCTGCCATGGACTGTGCCAGCACCCAGTGCTAGCGTGTGGAGCACGGAGATATATACCAGCCTGTGAGTCCAACATAGTGGCCCCTGGAAGTTAAACGCAGAACCTAACTGGGAGGAGCATACACGGAAGAGAGGGAGAGACTCCTCGAACAGCACTCAGCTTGGTGGCCAGGGACCTCTTTCAGCATCTTTAGGGAGGGGTCCGAGGGGTTGGTGAAGGAGAGCCCAGGACAGAGGTGAGACAAAGGGAAATGTCATTGACTGATCCAGGTGTAGTGAGCATGGCTGGATGTGATGAGTGCTAGGCGCTCAGGCAGTCAAAGCTCGAAAGAATAAAAGAGCAAGAAAGATAACGGGAGGGAAAAGAGGAGTCTACAGTGTGTCACTCACCGTCACCTGCTGGAACACGATGGATGACATGGCCAGCGTAGGAGCCCGGCAGTAAATGAACTAGCAAGCCTATAAATACCAACTCACTCTAGATGAGAACCAGAGGTATCAAGAGGGACACAGTGGCTCTCAGTCCCGGCCCCACGTAGCACCACCCGGGAAGTTTTAAACTGCACCCCAGTGAAACTGCTGCAGGGAGCGCCTGTGCACTGCTAACTTTTAAGAGCCTCCTCAGTGGCTGTAATTAGCAGCCGAGTTTGAGAACCCCTGTGCTAATCTAATTTCATCTTACAGAGGAGGAAGCAGAGAAGCAACAGTGGGCAGAGACTAGAAGTGGTGACTGCCTGGGGTTGCCCAGGACTAAGGGGGTTCCTAGGAAGTGGGACTTTTGGTTTTAATACCAGGACAATCCCAGAACTTGGGACTTTCAGTACTAAAACTAGGAAAGTCCTGGGGAAACGGGGACAGGTTGCTGATCCTGACTAAAACTCTCATGTCCTATTTTCAGGGGCTCTTTCCATGATAGAACAGATAATCAGAGAGTCCTGAACAAATACACTGCTACTTGATCAAACTCAGACTGTGGTAGAGCTCTGTTGTCTGGCTGCCCCCAGGTTGTGATATCCCCAAAGCTCAAAAACAAGGTTGTGAGTCAATCCACCTTTCAGGGGACATTTATCCATGGGGAAGCAGGTGACCTCAGACCAGGTCTGCTTTTGCTCAGACCATCCACAGCCACACTGTTCTCCTACCTTTGTGGGCTGAAGGAAGGGCTTCTTTGCTGGCTAAATCTTCCTATGACATGCTTTCCTGCCACCTTATCCCTCTCCTGTGGAGCATTTATCACAGCAGTAAGTTCGTATTTGTAGCTGATAATTTGATTGCTGTTGCCAAGATTTTTAAACTCAGCCAGGACAGGAGCGGCATCTGTTTCAGCTCACCATTGCATCTCATTGCCTAGACTACGAGGCTGCACACCACACAATAGATGCTCAATAAATGAATCAATGTACGCTTGCATGAATGTATGAATGATGAATGTAATTACTTATTTTTGCGCTCAGGGAATAACACCGCCTTGTATCTTTCTAACACAAGATTTTGAACCAATAGGAATTGAGTGTTAAGTCCTTGTGGAGTGGGGACAACATTGTTAGGATAAAGTAATCTATATTCATCTGAGATGTGGAAGCCCAGGAATGCTGTGAGGCTGCCTGCTGCCTGACACATGGTTTAGAAGGAGAGCTGCTCATTAAGCTCGTGTCCAGCCAATGTACCTCCCCCTCCAGGAGCCTCTGACACAGTTATTGATATCTGTGACTTTCAGGGCTTGCCAGGCAGGGCCCACATCCTCACTGCAGATGGCCCACAGTTTTATCACACCCTGAGATCATCACTGAGCTTGTCTGTATTCACAGTTCCACGCTGAGTGCTGGGGAAGCAGGTGCTGGGGTGGGAAGTTGATGAGATAATGGTGATGAACAAGATATGACCAGCATGTGTCACCGGTTAGCAGCAGGGAGATAAGGTATGTGCTTAGCAAACCTAATCAGACTAGTGGGCAGTTTGTCATAAATGCCAGAGACATAGTATAGCTAATAAATGCAGCAGTTTCAAAGTTGAGAATGAGACAGAACTGTGGTGTGAGCCGGCCTGCCTGGGTTGGGGTGTTGTCCACTGTGTCCTCTTTACTCACCATTTTTATGCCTTTTTATCCTCCCACGGCTTTGCTCAAACTCAAGAGGGAATAGCACAGACGTCTCTTGGAGGAAATGTTTACAGTGTGCCTCTGGACAGGATACGGGGCCTGCTCCTCAGAATGTTGATGAATGGCTAGCGAATGAACACATGAACGAGTTGAGAAGACCACCCCAGCTGCACCTATCTCCCCGAGAACACTGCAGCTATAGTGAGGTGATGCAGGCCTCCTAGATCATTAGGCACCCATGCTAACGAACGCTCAACTGATGCAGTCACCCGGGTGAGTCATTTCCTGGGAAGTGGCTTGTTAACAAGCTCCTTCTAAGGGCCTGAAGCCTTCCAGGCCTTGGCTTAGGACGCCACCTGGCGACAGCCTGGGACAGGCTCTCAGCTCACTTCACCTCTGCCACCTTAGCCCCCCTCAGATTCCTCCATGCTGGGAATATGGAAGCTGTAACCCCAGCTCTCAGCTGCTCGGTACAGAGGAACCACCTCTTCCAAGTCCCCATTCCCAATGGGTTGCCTTAGTCCTGAGCATTTTCTTTAGAAAAAATGTCATTCACATGTCAGCATTTTGAGTATCTGTCCCTCAGGTATCCAGCTGAGCTTGCCCTGTGCTTCCCAGCCCAGTATGTGAAGAGCTAAGGTCACTCTCCAAGTCTCTGAAGACTCTGGAGGGGGAACAGGTTTCCTAGCGTTACCTGGAGATGTGCATCCTCTCTTCCTTCTCTATATCACGTACTACACTGGACCACACTCCGGTCTCCTCATTCCCCCAAATGCCAACCACCACCACTCACTGTGGGTCTGGAGTTAGAGAGGGCGATGGCAGGGGGGATCTTCTTTGTGGTAGGTAACTTAAAGCTGAGTCTGAGACATCCTATTCTCTGCCAAGATATGGAGGCGCTTAGGCGAACGCAATGCCATTTTCAGACCTAACCTTACAGCGAGCTGACTGGCTCCTGGGCAGCCCAGGTCAGGTCAGGGTGCAAGATACTGCGGTGTGCAGGTGGACGAGAGTCCTACTCTAAAGAGCTTACGTTCTAGGGGAGGGAGGGAGGCAAGAGACCCCTGGGCGAGTTGATCAATGGATGGTTTCCATAGTGGCCCATTTTATAAAGACAAAAAATAAAGTGATAGGAAATAGCTGGAAAATGGGGAAGGGAAGGAGGGAGACACCTCTAAAACATGAGTTTGAGGATCTAGGATGATGAAGCGAGCCAGCACTGAATGGGGAGAAGGATTTAGAGGGAGGTAAAGAGTAAGGGTGGAGGAAGAGAGAGACGGACAGTGGGACAGAGAAGCAGCCCTTCACCTTCGGGAAGAAGCATCAGCCAGAGACTCCCACAGCGAGGGGACTGACAAGACTTTAAAGACAGCAATGTCACTGTGCATATCCAGTTATGTGTTCAGCGAGAGGCACAGTGTGGCGTCTCTTCTGAGGCCTTCATTTTCAGTGAATTGATCATCACTGTGATTTAAATCTAGGGTCCTCCCAAAGGCCTCATATGTTCGGAGCTGAGGGACTTCTGGGAAATGATTGGACCACGAGGGCTGTGACCTGATTGGTGGTTTAGTCCATTGCTGAGTTTAGACCTCCTGTTCACTGCCAAGATAAGGTAAATTGATGGTGTTTTGGAAGGTGATGACAGCAGAAGGTGGGCCCTAATGTAAGGAGGTGGATGATGGGGGTGTGGCCTCGGGGACTCTATCCAGTCCCTGGGCTACATCCAGCTCTCTTCCTGCTGTCTGCTCCCTGACCACCAGGAGGTGAGCCGCTTTCTTCTGTCATGCCCTTTGGTCATGGTGTTTCTAGCTTGCCACAGACCTATAGCAATGGAGCTGCCCAAGCATAGACTGAAACTATCATGAAAACAAACCTTTCCTTCTTTAAATTGACTTTCTCAGGTGTTTTTGTCACAGTGATGGAAAGCTAATCTTACACATGGATTTTTTTTTTTTTTTGGACCGGAGATTGAACTCACGACCTTGCACTTGCCAGGCAGACGCTTATGCCACTGAGCTAAACCCCCGGTTTATACATAGATTTTTATGCAAGGGAGTTTTTACTTTTTAATTTGGTTTCTGTATTGGTTTGGGCGGAAATCAAAGAAAGAACTGAGACTGACACTCATGGAGGAGAACAGAAAATATGTTTGGAAACAGAAACTCAGATGTAAAAGCAGAGTGAGCTTATGTGTCTTCCTGGAAATTCCTCACACCTAGGGTGCAGGGATCGGACTCACCTTCCCCAGACCCCAAGGAGCAGGGAACATGCCTGACTTCTGCGATGAGCACTTGCCTTTCACTATCTTATTTCATCTTTGCACCTGGATACCAGCTATTCCTATTCACAGATGAACAAACTGAGGCCAGGAGAGTTTAAATGACTCAGTGAGAGAAGGAGAATTTGAATTTAAGTCTGAATCCACCCTTGGCGCCTGAACCATACTCCATACACAAGACGCAGGGATGGATTTTACATCAGGTGTGTCTCCTGCCCTCTCACACCAACACTCAGCTAGGTAACCCTATAGGGCAGGAAAAGCTGTTTATCACCCCCTTGAATTCCCATAGTGCTTGTAAGCTCTATGCTGAAACGGGAAAGAAATGTTGTCTACACAAATTGTCAGTTCTCAACCAGGCACCTTTGGCAGTGTCCAGAGATAGTTTCGGTTGTCATATTGTTGTTGGTGGATGCTGCTGGGGTGCATAAGTAGGGATCAGAAGGCTGCTGAACACTGCAAGATGCACACGACAAACACCCACAACAAACATTATCCAGACCAAAATGTCAGGGTGCTGGGGCTGGGAAACCCTGATGTGCAGGATGCTGCCGGGGAGCAGCCAGCAGGCCAGCAGGACGTGAGCTTGACAACTCCACCTCAGTCTGAGATCTGTTTCTCAGCTCGCCAAAGGCTGAACTTTGATTTGTGAATTCTCCGAGACGGTAAGATCCTGAAGACATTATTTACATCAAGAAAAAAGCATGAGAAACTGACTTAGTGTTTAAGACAGTTATTCCTCAAAACAAAGCAAGCAGGAATTTTCCTCATTATTTGTAGATGCTACTATACCGTATTTTAGAAAAACCAAAGGAAGAAAGGCGAGAAAACAGAAAGCAAACCCACCCTATCCCTGGAATCCACCTCGAGACCTGCGGAATGTGACTTCCTTCCCGGGAGGTGGGGTAGAGAAGCACTGGGCAGCTTGCAGCCCGTCTAGTACCAGCTGTCCAGGGCCGCTGCACTGACCCCTGGGGAACAGGTACCAGAAGCATCCTTATTAGAAAGATCCAGACTTGGAGATAGTCCAGATGCACGGGCATAACATCAAAGAGAAAGAGCCTGGGAACAGGACCAGTGCATTCTCTGAAGTGACACTCATTTATGTGCCACAAGAAACCGAAAGATTGCATGATCCACCACTTTCTTTGAACAGTGAGTTCTCTTCCCAGAAACAAACCCTCGGGGGGCCAGTTGCTTTTTCAGTTTGGAGCAAGTCCACAAGTGGAGGTGAGTGACCTTCAGGGGTGGTCAGCCTTTAAGAACGCCTTCCTCACCCAGGATTGACCAAGTCAGCCCTCCTAGAAAGACGCTAGTGCTGACTGGTACACACGACCTGCCGGGTCTGCTCTCAGCCCCGGGAAGCCCGTGTTAGCTATCCAGTGCCAAGCCTCTCTCCTGATAATAACTTCTTCCTCTTTTTGGCACATTGTGGTTGAGTCCTTTTCATGCCAAAGTCAACCAGGCTGTTCATTAGACATGGAAAGGGTTGCTTGTTGCTTTTCTAACTTAGTTCGTATTTCCTGTGTTTACTAATACCACTGGTTCCCAAGGGTTCCTGTCTGCTTCACCCCAGTCCTGTTGTGGATCGCCTCTCACTTCCTGCGTAGTTAAGTTGCCCGAGCATGCGTTCTGCCCTCCCCATGACATCTAGCTTGGCCAGGCAGGTTTAATTGTACCAACTGTCAGCCTGGGTCAAGTCACAACCGAATCCTTGTGGTACCACAGACCTGGTAGATAACCTGGGCAAAAGGTTAATTTTTTCATGTTCCAGTTCCCTTGTCTGTAAGCAGGCCCTACTGACTGCAAGGTCGTGGGGATGGTAGAAGGGGTAAATACTGGGATGCCTACAAAGGGACGAGCATAGTGCCCAGCGGGTGCTGTGAGCTGTCACTGCTGCTCTGTCTCTCTGTACCCAGCAGTGTGACTGGAGTGTCACACTGTGTGCCCATGCACACCTGTAATTTAGGGGACTGGCGTGAACTCCTTCTTCCCTGCTGTGTCAGGCACACGGACTTGTCTGACTAGTGTGGTTAGAGACCTCGGAGAACGCAAAGGACAATGGTGTGGCCAGGTGTAGCCAGAGGCCTGGATGCGACCCCGCCTCTAATACTCCCGTGTTACGACCTACCTGATGCCGGAAAATGATTCAACCATTCGGTTTCCCCATCTGGCGCAGACAACGTTTGTCTTCTAGGCATAACATGAGCCATAAACGCAGCCCACATAGGTGATTTTTTAAAAGTTTAGTACCTGTATTACAAAGAGTTTTTAAAGGAACAAGACAAATTAAATTAATCATATTTTTATTTAACCCATGATATTAAAAACAGTATGACATAAAATGAATTGTAAAAGTTAAAGGACTATTTATATACTTTTAAAAAAATACGAAGTATCTAAGATACAGTGTTTAGACCTACTGTGTGTATCTCGGCCCAGCCAGCTCTCGGCAGCTCGGGCGCCGTGTGTGGGGAGCCGCTGCCATGCTGGTCAGGTATAAAGATTAAATGAGCTAACAGAGATAAACCAGTTGGCTCCACGTAGGTACATGACAAATGTTGGCATTTCACCGTTTGAAATGGACCTCGCCCAGCTGAAACTCTGAATCAATATGTGACAGCATGTTTTCACCACATTTCCCATGAGAAACGGGATGTTAGTGTGACAGGGACAGAGAGTGCACACAGGCTTAAAATCAAATTGCTTGGGTTGGACCTACTCCTGCTGCTTACTGGCTATGTAGCTTGAGAAAATACATAAAAAGAAATTTAAAATACTGTCTTTATTATAGGGGGTTGTAAAAATGAACTGATAATTGGATAAAGTGTTTAGTAATGCCTGGCACAATAAATGTCAAATATTAAAGTACAGTTTGTTAAAGAAAATCTGAAAATACAGAACTGAGGAAACATTAATCAATTAACCCCCAAGCCTTTTCCACCACCCAAAACCACAGCTGACATTTTTCTTCAGTGTTTCTTGATAAAACTTGGGGCCTGCCTACTTCCTCTCTTGATAAATTACAAAGTGCCTTTACCGCCCTCCTCTCCGCCTCCTCCCCGTTCTCTCCCCTTGAAATCTCTGCTCCCAGAATTTGATCCAGAAGTTAGGAGGACCAAAGAGCATTCCTATGAACAAGAACAAGCAAACCAATAGACTCGAACTTCAAACCCAGAAACACCTCCCTAGTCTGTTCTTTAGTGGTCTTGTTGGCGATTAGCAGATGACATCTTGCTTCTAACAAATGTCATTTGAGATGGGACTGTTGATTTGGTCATATGATCGCATAGAGCATTTCTGTGTGTTCAGGATGTGGCACCATGACACATGTAGCCCAGGGCCCTCTAACTGGACAGTCCCCAGGACTTCTTGGTAACCCAACTGTGAGTGTCAAACGCCTGTGCCTGATTACAAGCCCTTCTGCTGGGTCTGTAGCTCTGACAGGGACCCTTCTTTCTCAGACAATGGTTTGAGATTTAGCATGTGCTTATATGTTTCTCAATGCAATTGCTAAAATGCAGATTCTGGGTTCAATCCTTACGATATACTATTTAGTAGTAGCTCTAGAAATAGCATGTTACTGAGGTCCTGATGCAGGTGGGTCTCAAGCCTGCTCCTGGAGAAATGCTGTAATACAGCGGCTACAATTCTCTGTGTACCTCACTGGCACTGACAGATACAAAGGCTGAGATAGAGATCGTGACAACAGTCACACATGAAAGAGGGAGAAGCCCTGTCTGAGCCCCCAGGAGCCCCCAGTTCCTGCCTCTGAAACTCTTAAGTTTGCTTTTAACTCTGGCACAGACAGCACCGGCTGCCTTTTCTGAAAATGGTGTGATTTTCACACCCCACAACAGTATAACACCGAGTATTCCAAAGACAATGAAGTGCTTTTATGCAGTCCAGTGTTGGTTTTTCCGGGTATTCAGGCAAGTTTCCTCCATCTCTGAATCTCAATTTACTCATCTGTGAAAATAGAGATAATGAAGGCAACTGCTCGTGATTGTTCTGGTATTAAATCAGATAATAGATGCGCACACAGTTGGAGCAGTTTCCCCTGCGAAGTGGTCTACAGTAGATACGCATCTATATGACAGCTGTGCTTTGGGTACCGATGCGTTCTGGGATGTATGCTAGCTTTTCAGGGGCAAAGCTGAATCGGAAGTGTTGCTTCTCTACAAAGTGCTCTCCTTCTGCTGCAGGAGGCAGCTATGAGTCTGTACTGAGACAAAAGACACATGAAGAGGCAGGGTGGCTCCCAGGAATGTGACTCTCCTCCTAGAGGATGACTGTCACCCACTCAGGAGCTGGACAGTGACCCACGAGCAGAACTGCCCTTTCTGGGGGTTGGCCACAGAAAGCGTCAGGTCCCTCAGGTGGCTGTTCCAAGTAAAGCAGCAAAGCTCAAACTCACTAACTGAGCTACAGAGGGAGGGCCTGGACAGGGAGTAAAACCCATGTCTTCATGTACATCAAAGACCTTGGAGGTGTTGTTTTTTTTTGTTTTCTGTTTTAATACTGAGGCCTGAACCCAGGTCCTTGTTCATGTTTAGCAAGCATTTCCCAGCTGAGCTACATTCCCACCCCTTCACTAATTTTATTAAGAGACAGCGTCTCACTAAACCATCCAGGCTGGCCTCAAGCTTGCAAGCCTCTTGTCCTAACCTCCCAAGTGGTTGGGATTACAGGGATGTATCATCTTAGCTTATAAAGACTTTCAGGACACCTTCAAACTTGACCTGATAGTGAGGTTTGAGAAATTTCCTATAAGGAAATAATCTTTAAGAGAGGAAAATTTCACACACAAAATGATGTACGGTATGGCACTGAGTATTGCAAAGACAATGTAACAGCAATGTAACGCTCTTTTGGATAAGACCTGTGTTTCAGCATAAGCTGAAGGAGGGCAAAACACGTAATCCTGCCGTGCTGCCGTTTGGGCCGATGCAGTCAGAGGGCCCCTGCCAGAGCCCGTGCTATGCGGTTTGGAATGTCTATATTCAGAGGAAGTTTTAAGATATTAAACATTAAAATATTAAGTACTCAGATAAAGATGACAGCAGATTTGTCATCAGAAATAATGCAAGCCAGTAGACTGGAACAGCATCCTGAAGCAAAATAGTCAGTCTAGGATTCTATGCCTAGAAAAAGGCTGTCTTTAAAAACAATGGTAGAAAGCTGGGCATGATGGTGTATTACAGTATTTTTATTTATTTATTTATTTAGGTACTGGGGATCAAACTCATGACTTCGTACTTGCCAGGCAGGCGCTTATGCCACTGAGCTAAATCCCCAACCCTGCATCACAGTACTTGAGCTGAGGCAGGAAAATCACAAATTCAAATCCAGCCTGAGCAACTTAATGAGACTGTCTCAAAGTAAAAAATAAAAGGGTTAGAGATCTAGCGCAATATAGAGCATTTGTCTACATTCAAATCTTCTTACTACAAAAATAAAAAAAAATAAAAATGTAAGATAGAATAAAGATAGCTTCAGAAACATAAGAGCTAGATAGTTTTCACCAGCAGAATCATACTGCATGAAATGTTAAAGAAAACCGTTCAGGCAGGAAGACAAAACTAGGGGAAAATCAGCATCTTCATAAAGGAATAAAAAATGCTCAAACTAGTAATAACTATGTTAGACAATACATGAGTTCTTAAATTTATCGAAGTATTTTTGCAAGATAATGGTCCATTCGATCAAAAATAACTACCATGTACCATGCGGTCTAGAATGCATGTAAAACAGAAGGAGGACTGGGAGGGGAGAAATACCAGTGAGTTATTGTAAAGTTCTTGCCCCGTGCATCCAATAGTGTACTATCTCTTGAAGGTAGGCTGTAATAAATTAAAGAGGGATTCGATAAACCCAAATGTAACACTATGAAACCCAGTAAGAGAGAGTTACAGCTAATAAACATTGGGATACTCAGTTTATCCAAAGAAAAGAGGAAAAGGAAAAGTGAATACAGAAACGATGAAACCAAGGGAAAAGAGATAGTAACATGATAGACTCCGTGTGAAGGGTTTGAATATCCAAGTTAAAAGGCAGTGATGGGGCTGGGGATTTAGCTCAGCGGCATAAGCGCCTGCCTTGCAAGCAGGCAGTCGTGAGTTCAATCCCCGGTACCGATAAAAAAAAAAAGGCAGTGATGACACAATTGGATAGGAAAGCAAGAATCACCTGCATATTCCCAATAAGAAACTCATTTTAAAGACAAACAGAAAGACAGGTTAGAAGTAAATTGATGGGAAGATCATCCTAACACTAATTAAGGGAAAACTGGGATATCTACGTTAGTATCAAACAACCCGGATTGTTTTTTTTTTTTTTTGTCTTTTTCATTTTTATCAGTACCGGGGATTGAACTCACGACTGCCTGCTTGCAAGGCAGGCACTTATGCCGCTGAGCTAAATCCCCAGCCCCAAACAACCCGGATTTTATAGCAAAAATATCAAAGATAGAGAAGATCATCTCGTAAAGCAGTCAATTAACAGTGTATAGCAACTCAACATTTATGCACCTTCAAAATACAAAAAGTAGAAGCTGATAAAGCAGCAGGACAAATGGAGTTATATTCAGAGACTTCAGCATCTCACTCTCAATAAATGATGAAAACACAAAGATGGAAAATCCAGAATATAGTACATTTGAGTAGCACTATCAATCAACCTGATCTTATTGATATTTATATAACATTCCTCTCAATAATAACTAAATGTGCTTTTTTTATAAGAGAACATAGAGAATTCGCCAAGATTTAATACATTCTGGGCCACAAGTCTAAATCAGTTTCAAAGGATCTAAGTCATTCAAGGTCTGTTCTCTATCACAATAGAATTAAATTAGAAATTTATGTTAGAAAGATAACTAGTGTGTTAGTCATTTTCCTTTTCCAAGTATTTTGGGACAAAATACTTGACACTGGAAACTTAAAGAAGGAGACGTATGTCTCACAATTGGCTTTTGTTTTTGTTTTTGTCTTTTTGAGACAGCATCTCACTACGCAGCTCAGGCTGGCCTTGAGCTCACTTTGTAGCTCAGGCTGATCTCAAACTCGCAGCGATCCTCCTGTCTCAGCCTCCCGAGTGCTGGGATTACAGGCATGAGCCACCACACCTGGCCATGTCTTACAGTTTTAAAGGATCCAGTCTATGGTTGATAGCCTGCAAGACAGAAATAGAGGAAAGCTGCTCAATCCAAGTTAGCCAGGAAGCAGAGAGAAAAAAGGGAGTGGCTGGGGACCAGAATACACCCTTCTAGGTCATGCCCCTGTGACCCAGCTCCTAAGGGCACATCAGTTATGACCGCATCAATGAATGAGTCCAAAAGCCCCACACATCACATTCGGGAGTGCATCTTAGATTTAAGCTGTGACATCCAGAAAGTCCCCCAAATGTCTGGAAACTGAATCTTATACGTACTTCCAAATAACTTCTGGCCAAGTAAGAAATTGAAAGGGAAATTATGAAGTATTTTTATCTGAACGAGAATGAAAACACGACATATGTGAAAGTGTGGAATGCTACAAGACAGTGCAAAAGAGGAACTTGCAGCCAGCACGAAGTGAGGGTACTAGAAAATAAACGTCAAGTGAGTGAGCTCATCTTCCACTTTTAAGAAGCTGGAAAAAAGAGAAAATTAAAACCTAAGCAAGCAGAAAAAGAAAGCAACAGATATTGACATAGAAATTAATAAAATATAAAATAAAAAAAAGAATAATAAAGTTGATGACACCAGAACTGGTTCTATGAGGTCAATAACATTAATGAACCTCTAGCAGGTTGATCAGGATAAAAAGAGAGAAGATATACATCACGTCAGGATCAATAAAATTATATCACTCAATAGCTTTTACAAATATTAAAATAGTAACACAATCTTGTGAATAATTTTATGTCAGAAAATTTGGAAACGTGGGGGAAGTAGGCTAATTTATGAAAACCAGAAATTACCATGCTCAATCAAAGACAGGCAGACAAACTGAGGGGCCCTTTATCCACTCTGGCATTTGAAATTGCAATGGAAACCCTTCCCACAAAGAAAACCTGCAGGCCCGGGTGGCCTCACCGGTGAATTTCACAAAATATGCAAGGAAGAACTCATGTAAATCCTACATAAACTCTCCCCCGAAAATGGACAAGTCAGGAATATTTCCCAGCTCATTGTATGAGGCCAGCATGACACTGATACTGAAACCAGAGACATTTATGGGAAACAAAACCAAAGGCCAATATCTCTCATGAATAAACATAGATACAAAAATTTTAAACAAGTTTTAGCAAGTAGAATCCAATAATGTATTTAAAAAGAAAACCCATCACGATCAAGTGAGGTTTATCCCAGGGCTGCAGAGTTAATTTAACATTTGAAAATCCCTCCGTGTAACTGACATTAACAAACTAAAAACAGAAAAATGAACAGTCATCTCAATGGAGAGAGAAAAAGCACCCGATAGAATTTAATAACCATTCCTGACAAACAGTCTCAGAAAACTAGGAATAGGTGAGAATTTCTTCAGTGTAATTTTTTTAACCCTCAACCCAAAAAAACCCCTACCACTATCATTACCTTCATAGCAGAAGAGTGGGGGTCTCAAGGCAGAAACCGGGCAAGGATGTCCCCTCTCACCTAACCCTAATTTTTTGCTGAAGGTTCTAGCCAGGAAGACCCATCAAGAAAAAAGAAATGAAATGTTTCTAGTTTGGACAGGAAGAATGAAGCTGATCTTATTTTCAGGCAGCATAATGCTCGGGTAGAAAACCTGATAGATTGTGCAAAAGCTACTAGCATAGTATGTAATAACATGCAAGGTAAGAGGTTGCAATATCTATATACACACATCTGTTATATTTTTACATATTAGCAAGGAATAATCAGACACAGAAATCTGTAAGACAAAGCCATTTACAACAGCATCAAGAAATATCAAATGTCAAAAAAGGAAAAAAAATCACATATCAATCAAAATTAACTATATGCTAGACCATAAATCAAGTCTGGGTGACTCACAAATTTAAATCATTCAGAGGATGTTCTACAAATTTAAAAAATGAGACAATCAGATATTATTCAACATCTTAGGAAACAATTTACTGCTACATGATCCAAGAAATAATAATAAACATATTTTTAATAATAAACATTTTTTTAACCAAGTGATAGATATAACTAAACTTGTGAGATGTAACCAAAACCATACTGAAGGGAAATTTATAACCTGACATACATAAATTAGAAATAAAGAAAAGCTAAAAACCAATAATCTGTCATCTCCATATGATAAAAAAAGAGAAAAGCATTAAACCATAGTGCATAGTGCCACATGCCTGTATCTCTGCACTCAGGAGGCTAAGACAGGAGGATCTTCATGAGATAGAGGCCAGCCTGGGCTCTACAGTGTGTTCAAGGTCAGTTTAGTATACATAGCAAGACCTTGTCTCAAAAAAAAAAAAAAAAATCACAAAATAGTCAGACCTAAAGAAAGCAGAATATGGTGAAGAGTAGAAATTTATGAATAGGAAACAGAATTTTAAAATCCAAAAGTTGGTTTTCTTAAAAGATTAATAAATTTGATTAAAATTCTTTTTTTTAAAAAAAGAAAGAAATCATAGATTATTGATATTAAGAATTTAAAAGGCAACATTGCTACCATTTCTTCAAAAAATATAAAATAATAAAGCTAATGTTTTGAATATTATTCCAGTAATTTTGACAATGCAGAGAAAATCTCCAAAAAGCAATTTAACAAAAATGTGTACCCAAGAAGAGTGTCACATGCCCAAACCCAAGCACTCAGGAGGCTGAGGCAGAGGATTGCCGTGAGGTTAGGGTCAGTGTGGGCTACACAGTGAGTTCAAGGCCAGCCTGAACTACAGAGCAGGACCCTGTCTCCAGTCCCCTGCCCAAGAGAGATAAATGAAAACTGGAATATTCCGACATTCATTAAGACGCTGAATCTCTTCCTCCAGCTCTCTGTTGGGGTCCCTGGAGCTTCGCTCTGTATGTCCAAAATACAGGAGTCGATTAAAAGTGGCTCCCTCCTTCCTGAGAGCCTTCCTTCTGGCCATCTGGCCGCCACCTAGGACTCTAAGACACATGCTAGGTTCCTGAGTCTGTGCACCAGGGTGAGTTTGGCTTCATAAAGAAGCATGACTGCCCCTTGTTTGTTCTCTTGGTGGCTTCGAAACACCTGAGTTTCTGGTTTTGGCCAGTTATGTAACTTTTGTGAAAACAATTTCAAATATCTAAGGTTGCAAGAACATTACACAAAACTCTTTAGATTTTACATAAATTCATCAGCTTTTCCCCATATTTCCTTTCTCTTTTTGAGAACAGATGACACAGATATGTTTCTGTGCACATATATGCATACTTTAGAGTTTAGACTTACAAAAACTGAGAACCTAGCCTAGAGTTCACTTATACCCTCTATCCAACTTCCCCTAACCTATCAATGTGGTACATCTACTGTGATTAATAAAGCAATATTGACATAATGAACTAAAATCCATATTTTCCGCAAATTTCCTAACTTTAACCTGGAATGCTTTTCTGTTTCAGGGTCCCCTCAGGGTAATCGTGTTACATTCACTGCTGGGTCTCCTTCCTCTGCTCTTGACCGCGTCAGTTTGTCTTACCTGTGGCTTGTTAGCCAGGGATTTGCGGGACTTCTCTTGATGGAGATCTGGCTCCTCTGTGGCTGGGATCCTGTGTTTTGGTGAGAAAGTCCACCAAGGTGAAGCACCACTGACGTCACATCTACCAAGGGTGTCTACTATCAACAGGACTTAACTCAGTTGGTTTTCATCTTGCTTATCTGGCTGGGTTAGCGTTTGAAGCTTCTCCACTGGAGAGTTCTCTGTTTCCTCCTTTCTATACTGTACTGTCTGGAAAGCTGGCACACACTTCCTCCCCACCACCACCAAAAGCAGGTATCTACATAAGCTGTATGAAATTCTTCTATGTGGGAAACTGGTCTCTTCTGCTTGGGCTTTGTAACTATATCAGTTTGTCACTATATCAGTCGAAGGACTATCTGGGACCCTTGGCTGATACTGATTGTAAGTTTCTGAAGTGGATCTTCATGTGTCTGACATTTGCTGAACACTCGCTTGGTACTTTGTGCTGTGCTAAATATCTTTCATGTATCTTATTTAATTTGATCCCTGCACTACCCCTATGCAGTGAGGTCTACTACTCCCACTTTGTGCATAAAGAAATTGAGACTCAGAGCATTGCTCTGAATAATGAGCCCATGGTGTTCCTATGTGTGCACCTTGCCCTAAAAATTGAAATGAATCCCTTTGTCTGCCTAGTGTTGTGTCGCTAGGTGGACTTTGCTGTACTCCCTTCTGTACACAGAAACCAGGTGCTCACTTTCTCTACAGCCCACCCCAGAATCCAGGCCTGCGTTTTCCATGGTGCCTGCAGGTCAGATACAAATTGCACAACCCTGGCTTTCATAACTGCCCTGGAGCACAAAGGAGGTACAGTCCAGCGCTTCTGCACTCAAACACAGTGCCCTTAACAGCTAAGGGCAAAAGTAATACTTCACACCTATAAGGATCTGAGACATTTAGGAGCCTGTTTTAGGCCCTGAGGAAAATCCCCCACCTAGATGTTCAAGGTCAGAAACAAGGAGTTGGAGACTCAAAAGTAACTATGGTTGGAAAAGAAAAACAACCCTGACCTCTGAACTGCTGATTTGTCTTACCCCACAGCAGCACTGAAGGAGAGGCCACTGCTGTGGAAGGCTTGGCCAGTATTAGTGTGCAGCCACTCAGTGTTCAAGGTTTTGCCCCTCCTGACCACCACTGCTGAGCCTCTTGCAGGGCAGAGAGGAGAAATACACCCTAACTTTCTGTGAGCACTGAGGCTTAGAGAGGTAATGATTTACCCAGCAGTTCAGTAGGGCGGCTATCTGAATCCACTTTCAACATATTTTTTTTATATAGGATGACTTGATGGAAAAATCTAGAGTCATTCTCCTTTAAGACATCAAAACGATAGTGGCCAATAGAGAAAGATGTAGATGAAAGTGATTGGTCAAAGTAGCAGATCCCATACCTGGAGCATCAAGAGTAGAATGGCCAGTTGGTTAAGGAAGTTTCTTCAAAGACAATGTGAATATTCTGCAGAACAGGGGAAGAGAAGGCAGGCTGTGTCCATGCTCCAAGGACACGTGTCTCTTCCGTCTGACTCCCATCTCCTGGGGTGCTGTCCCATTCATAGTCCCCCTGGCATAATGGCATGTGTCCCAGGAGCCCATCTGGTCAAGCCCTGCATGCCACAAGCAGGCCGGCATTCAGGGCAGGGAGGCACCTACCTCAGTACCCTGCTGCCACCAAGACACACAGTTCTCTGAGGCTTGCACTGTTCAGTAGGAAATGTCCAGGAGTTAGATGCTCCTGGAAAACGGCTCAGGCATAAAGAGGTGAAATCTTCTCCCCAAGAGAAACAGCCAAGGAGAGGCCCAGCGTTGCCATGAGATGGTGTAGTATTTATCCAGCAGTAGCAGAAATGAGATTCAACCTAAGTTGGCAGATTATTCAGATAACTCAAAGGCACTGTGGTTTTCCGTCCACCACTGTCCCTCGTCTCAGGAACCAGAATACTGACCTTTGCTTATCCTCATCCTTTTAATCCCCAAACCACGTCAGTCACACGTGAAGCTCTGAAGAAGTTGCTGCTGACCAAAGTTGGCCCCAGCACTGAACCAGCGGGGTTTCCTTGCTAAACTACCTCCCGCAGTAGGCAGGGAATTGAAGGACAGGCCTGAATCGTGAGTGGGGAAGACACAGTTATGGTCAGGTGCTGGAGAAGGGGAGCACTCCGTGCTTATCCCCATACAGCTCCTGACACTGAGTCTCCTCAAATCCTGCACAACTGCCGCTGCTAGTCCTGCTCCAGTTTGGCCACCAGGCTCTTCCGCCTGCAACCTTTTCCCCTCCCTCTTTGCCTGGAGACCCCAATCCATTCCTCAGATCCCAGGTCAGGAGAATCTGCTCGTGGAAGCTCCCCTGGGCCTTCCTCCCCATGGAAAGCCTGATTACATCCAGGCTCTCCTATCTCCCACCACAGTGCCACTTTGCATCTGTAAGCTCAGAAGGGCTCTGCTTTCCTTCCAGAGCACTCCCAGTGTCTTGGCATTGCTTGGTATTGAGTTAATGCTCAATAAAGAGTAATCAAGACATGCCAGGTACAGCTACCAGTTCTCTATATTGAGTGGGATCATTATGTATACTTAAATTGCACCAATAAACTTCATTAAATAAAAATATATGTGGAGTAAATGCATGACTAAATACACATGGAGATGGCCATTGAAATTTGACCAACTTCAATAGTAGCACCAAAGTACCCTGCATCCTAAATACTCACATCCAAATTCTCTGAATCGGTGAATGTTACCTTCTATAAAAACAGGGTCTTCAGGGCTGGGGATTTAGCTCAGCGGCATAAGTGCCTGCCTTGCATGCACACAGTTGTGAGTTCGATCCCCAGTACAAAAAAAAAAGATGTACCAAAAAACAGGGTCTTTGCAGCTGTGATTAAATTTAGACTCTTGAGATGGGACGGTTGTTCCCGCATCCTTACAGGTGAGCCCAGAATGCAATCACAATTAAGCTCTTAGAAAATGGATGTTACCAGAGAGAGAGACAGACAGAGAGAGAGAGAGAGAGAGAGAGAGAGAGAGAGAGAGAGAGAGAAAATGAATCTGCGAGACACAGAGGCCAGGCCTGGGCTGTCCCCTAGGGGTTCCAGAGGGCGTGCGGCCTGCCAGCCCTTGCTTTCGGTCCAGTGAAGCTGATTCAGACTTGCAGCCTCCCTACCTGTGAGCCCACCCAGTTTGTGGTCCTCTGTCACAGCAGCACAGGAAACAAATTCACCTTGACTTATCTCCTCCCCAACCCTCACCCTCCTCTCCAGTGTCCATGGTCTGACCCCAGACACTTCAGATGTGGGGGAGAAGAAAGCATCTGAAACGGAAAAATGGAAGAGGAGAATAAAGGAGAAGAGGGAAAGAGCCGGGCTATGAGCTCACAGTGAGGAAGAGGGGAATTTATGGAGATGCTGAGGTGAGAACCCAAACTGAAGCAAGAAGCCCCATGTCCATGCTTCCCTCACTTTGCCAGTGAATATTCTCCAGGGGAAGTGGAGGAGTGACAGTTTTAAGTCCCCTGTCTTTCTGTGAGCCACTAGCCATTATTCCCTTGAAGGAACTGACCTATAGCCAGGTGAGCCTCATTTACTGGTCTCCAGTCCTACGCTGGACTTGCTACCCCTGAAATGTGCCTGGCATGCTCCTACCCCAGGGCCTTTGCACTTGCTGTTGTTCTGTCATAATGGTCTCCATCTGGAGATCTGCAAGCCTCACTCCTTCCTCCTTCATATCCTTCCTCAAATACTACTTAGACTTTGTCCTCTATCCTCTTTCATTACAGCTCCTCCTTCTGACGCCCTGTGCCCCTGCCCTGCTTTACTGTCTTCTGCAGCACTTCTCATTCTGACACGCTCTGTGTTTATTTTGTCATTACTGATGTCTGTTCCAGCCAACTACAATTAACACTCCCCTGGGCAGAAGTCTGTTTTGTCTTCCTAGAATGAAGCCTGGACCGTGGTAGATAACTGATGGCTGGTAAAGAGTAACAGTTCTTGATTGGGGATCTTTCTCTGGTTAGAACGGGGGCACTGGGAGGAGCCCTGGGGAGCAGGACGATAAAGTCTCTCTGTTTCAGAAGCTGGCAGCCTGCCACCTGCAAACCCTGCCAGGCCCTTTCTTATGGCTTCCAGTCATTTCCACACTCACAGGTCTCTCGCTGCCTTGAGGTCTGAGCTTCTTCTAGCAAGAAGGAGGCACCGCAACACCCAGAGCTGGTTCTTTCCCTGTCTGCCTGCCAACTGGCCCCCAGCTGCCACTGCTCTTTGTCGGTGGAAGACACAGATGAAAGCTGAGAGGAGGAGGAATGGAGTGGAGTCAGACCAGCCAAGGCTTAAAAACCACCGCTCATCTGGGCAAAGCAGTGCACACCTGTAATCCCAGCTAGCTGGGAGGCTGAAGCAGGGGAATCACAAGTATGAGACCAGTGTGGGCAACTTTGTGAGACTGTGCTTCAAAGTTTAAAAATATAAATAAATGAATGAGCTGGAGACATACCGTAGTTCAGCACTCCTCGGGTCCAATCCCTGGTGCTGGATAAACAAAAAAAAACCCCCAAACCATCACATCAGTAACTGAGTAACCTTGGGAAAATCCTATGACCTCTGAAACTCAGTTTCCTCTCCTGTAAAATAAACAAAGAAGAATCCATAGAGGATAGCAAAATACCTAGCATGATAGTTCATGTCAGATTTCCCTTCTCCCATCTTCAAACTAAACATCCTGAGGGAGGAATATGTGCTTTCTAGGTTGCACCAGGTACCTAACCTGTATTATATAACCTGATGCTTGCTGATATGAGCTGTGGACTCACGAGAGAGAAGGGCCACCAGGCCTATGTAGCCACGGTGGACTTTGTTATCAAATTGGGACCTCAGAAGATCTGCATTGCTGACCTGTAGTTTAATACAGGAGGACTACATTGGGCTGAGAATAATTAAGTAGAAGAGGGAAGGGAAGAGAGTCTCAAGGTGCAAAAACATGATATTCAGCAAGAGACTGGGACCAGGAGCCGGAAGAAGCATCTCATTTAGTGTGTATTCGAGGAGAACGTCCCAGAACCAAAGGCTGGACAAGCACCCACTAATCACATGGAAAACCTTCAAAAGTGGTACAGGCAGTGACCCTAAGAATTTCATGAATCCCAGAGCATTTATTGACTTCAACCCTCCAAAATGAGCTTTAGAATTTCTCCAATTTATAACATTAAACAGGAGTCACCTGTTTTATAGCTGCCAGAATGGCTATAAAAATTCTATATATTTGTGAATATTTGTTAAGTTTTATGAGTTTTGAACAAGCAACATTGTTAAAGTTTTAAAAAGTATAAAAATGACCTAATGAAATGCAAGAACTTTAAAGATGGGCAGAAGAAATACTGGTTTTCTTTCACGGATCCTGGTAGTTTTCCACCTGAGCTCCTCTGGCACGCTGAGATAAAAGGAGGCTGGGACCGAGAGGCAGATGTGTGCAGACACAAAGGGGGCTGGCTACCGGCCACCCGAGACACTAGTGGGATCACGCCCCAGTCAGCCACCCAGATGTTGGCTCGTTTCAGAGTTTGGGGAAAGGTGAGAAGAGCGTTGGCTGACTTGTTCCTATGTCCCCAAAGGTCAGATGGCCACAGAATGAATCTGGGGGTGAGGTGTGAACCTGCCATTGTCTTGAGACAGCTCTTCCTCTCTGGCTTTCATTTTCTTATAAATGATAAGACTGTCAGCTTCACCCTAGAACTGCAGAGTTCCCTCTTCCCTGCCCTCCTCCCATGCACTCTTGGGCTGGGCACACGCCTACACCCCGCGTGCACCGCCCCTGGCTGACCTCAGTTACTATTTCTTGTGTCTGTCATTAATTCTGCGACAAACAAAATATGGTACTATTTGAGAAGCGTGTTGGAGCAGTGCAAGAGGGTAGATGCGTTGGCCTTCCAAAGAGGACTCCAGGATTCTGTGAGGGGCCTGGAGGACAGAGAGAAGCTTCCAGATGTGAGCTCCTGGAGAAAAATGTGGTCCATAGTAAGCAGCAGGGAGACGCAATATACGGGGAAAACAGCAACTGTAGAATAAATTCCTTGCATGTGTACAATTGTATAAACTGGGCCTTCTCACATCCATAGTAAAGTTATTTATTGTCAGTTACCTATCCAGATCCCCTAAAACAATGAGCCTGGTAAGGCCAGGATCTGACGCATGTTTGAATCCCACTGTGCCTGGAAAGGATTCTTAACAAATATTTTCTCACATTAATCCTTTCAACAACCCTAATGTTTCAGAAGAAGCAGTACTATGTTCAGTTTAGAGCTAAGAAATCTGAGGCCTTGGAAGTTCATGACTTGCCCCAAGTTACAAACAACAGAGAGACAGAGCTTGAACCACACTCTTGGGTTTCCAACTGAGCACAGCTGCTGCTATCAGAAGTGGGGGACAACAGAGACCTTGAAAGCCTTCAAGCTGCACAGCTGCAAGCAATTTCTGCACTGCAGAGTAACCACGGGGATCTGTTTTTAGGACAGAGCACCCCGACACCCACACAGCTCTGGGTGGGGCTCTCTCAGTCAGGTCCAGATAAGCAAGTATATGCCTATGGTTCTAGAAGAAGTCCTGGGTATTTATACTTGATCTAATGCAGTACCTCAGACTGAAGTGTTGCAGGTTTAGCTCAGTAATATCAACTGTCATGAACCACTAATAGACGAGCTAGGACTCTGCCAGAATCACTCTGGGAGTAAAAACCCAACAACAGATGGACTTCCTGTATTTGCAGGATGGGTGTTCAGACTGTTGTTATTTTAGAAGCAAGGGGAAATAACACCCTTAAAAACTGGAGAAGTCAAGGCTGCCACAGAGGGATGGCAGGCATGGCACATTTGTCAAAATGACCCATGATAATTTTATTTATGTTCTGTCCTTAACCTCTTGCACCCCAAGTTCATGAAGCAACGATAGCAGACTAGATCCATATCCTTTCTGCTAAGATAAAAAATCATTCTGGTGGAGGGAAATGTCCCAAGAACAATCAAAGGCCCAGGTAATCCTGGGTTGTCACAGAGGATTTCAGCACATGGAACAGTCCAGAGAGAGGCTAAAACCCAGGCAATGGGAGAAGGAGCGGCTCCTTCTAGATAGAACGAGGCACTTCCTGCTGGATATTTCTACCGATCACATGTCTTTTCATTGCAGAGGCCTTTATCAGTTGCCAGAAGTTTTCTGCATCTGTCTGGTCTTCCAACAACCCAGCAAGGTTACAATGATCGCAACCTTCCTGATGGCTAAGAGAAGTCAAGGAACTGGTCAAAGGGTACAGAAATAGCAGGAGCTGAGCTGGAGCTAGAACTAGATTTCCTATTTTCAAGGCCAGCAGGCCCTTCCACCCTGGGCACTGGCCAAGAACAGCAGTATCCTGAGAAGGCTGCAGGGGTCAGAGGGCCCTTAGCTCAAGCTCTGCCGGTTCAAAGGAATTAGTAAGACAGGCCTCTTACCTGGGAGGAGTAGTTCCGCCCCTTTCTAACTGATGGGCCTAACAGCTTCAAAACCTTCACCGATCTATAAGCTTTGAGAAGGGCTAAACTTCAACCTGGAAAGCAGGGTCTCAGTTCAGCCACTAAATAGGTGAGTCACCATAGCTACCTGCCACCAGGTATTTTGTTTCCTCTCCTATTTAAAAAGCAAATCAGCCTGGTCCATTTCCTGCCCTAAATCCTTCGAGGATGCTTCTCACAGGATGCTTCTCAGTAGGTAACTGAGGTGTCAGAAATTTCTTCCTTTGGGGTATCATGGCAATTTTAAAGGAACATTCTGAAGGGTGTACAAAACCCACAGCTATTCTTCTAATATAAACGTTTCTATTGTTGAATTATTAATTTTAATTTTGAGTTTCAATTTATATTAAATGACTAACAGAAAAAAATCTAAAAAAGCATTGAATTTTTAATATTTGTTGCTTATGAAAAAAGCATCAGAATTTTCAACATTAACTGTTTTTTTGTTCACAAGGTCTAAAAACTAACAGAAATAAATTTCTACACGAACTATAGTGAAAATACCAACAGAGCTCTAGAACGAAAATAATCTTTGCTTCCACTGTCACACCCAACGCAGTCTTCACACTTACCAATTGTACATACTGTGTACACACATCGCTTGCGCTGACTGCTTAGCTTTCCTGTCTTTTTCATAGGACACACTTGACATTTCATTGGTCTCCTGTTTCTCCAAGAGCTTCTGACTCTATGGTACAATGTGCTTAGCAGGAAAATAAGGTATCAATTAAATAAAATACCAAATAGGTAGTGAGTGCTCAGAATAGACATCAACATTTTTACATCAGCTGTATTCTTGCTCACAAAACCTAAAAACTAACATCAGAAATAAACACCTATGTGAAACAAAAGTCTACCACCAAACCAAGCTTTGCTTCAACTGTCACACCCCAGGCAGCCTCCACACGTGAAAATGGCATGTTCCATGCACAAGTATGGCTCACACTCATAGCACGTGAGTTTTGCTTTTCTGTACTTTTTTTAGGGCACAAATGACATCTTTCTGTCATCCTCCAGTTGTTTTAGGTCTTTATGATGCTGTGCCTGCCTGTTCACCTGTAAGCTCACCATTGTGTTCCACAAATTTTTTGTGTAGTTCCCAGGGCAGAAACCTTTGCTCTTTGTACTTGTAAAAGATTTCTCATGAATTCCAGCACCAGTCCTCTAAGAAAATTTCTCTAAGATATTTTGTACTTGTTATTTTCCTTGTAAACTATCAAACTATTCATGCCACATATGTTTAGGATCAAGTAAAACACAACCATTAGCCAGCGCTTTGTGTTGCCAGTGACACCACAGTTGCTGAATAACTCACCACCAACAACTACTTCACCTTTGGATTTTTGTAAAAAATTACCATCTCGGTCTTCAGTTTGGAGGAGGTTTTGCTGTCAATCTTTCCATCGGGGTGCAGTGTTGACGTCAGCAGTACCAGTTCGTTTTTCTTTGCCATGTAAGAGGCCACTGTTATATTTTTCTGAAATTTAAAGATTGTACCATACAATTCTCTGTTTTGAAGTTGTAACATGTGCTTGGGAATTTCTGCTTTGTTCTTGCATACAGTTCTTACCCGGTCACCTTGTGCTGTTAGTAAATACAACAACTGGAAACCAGTAAGCCAGTTACCCAGTGTCACACTCTGATTAGTTTGGGAACAACAAGTCTGTTCTCAGCATCAACTGATTCGTTACTATGCATATAAAGACCTGGGGGCTGAGTTTCAGCATAAATTTCTAAATTGAAAGAACATGTCTTTGCATCTAGCAGGGCATGTATTTTTATATCATACTTGGAAGACTCTTTTTTGGCATATACTGCCTAAAGCTACAGCAACCAGGTTTTTCATGTGCCATTGTACTGAGCTGGGCTACTTCTACAGGAAAAATCAAAAGAGAACTTTGTTTAAAAAAGCAAATCCTAAATGCAAAAAATTCAACAATGAGCGTTTAATGGACAAAACTCACTAGTTGCTTCTTTTGAGCTCCTATACATACCCTGCCATTCTTCTGCCAAGTGAATGGATGCACAGATTGGTTCCTGTTCTATCCATGCATAGCTGCCCTGAGCCACATCTGGATTCCATTACGGCAAATTAGACATTTGCAGAACAGAAGGATAGCATGAGTGCACCTCCACCCACTATACTCAGGATACATATGCAAAAATGCTACATGGACCATTATGTGGTTATAAATTTCAACTTGACACTTTTGCACAGGTGTCTGCCCCTTGCCATTCAGCATACCAAGTGGGTGCACACCAAGATTGCTTTGTCTCTCGTAGACATAGCTACTGAGACACACAGCCAGCTACCATTATGCTGAAGTACATAATTTCATTGGAAAAGTATGGTATGGGTAATGCTAACCCACAATGATGCCCCAAGGATAGTCTGAGGCCCTGTCCAGAGAAGAGGGGAACTTTGAAAGGGGTCTTTCACTTTTAAGCTCTTTAATTCCCAGCCAGGAGGGAGTCAGACAGATGGATAGTGAAGAGATGTGGACATCAATTGGGTCCTGCAGACAACAATCAGAGGCTCCTCCTAGGGCTGGGGCCAGGCCTAGCAGCCCCAATCTACCCTTTGGAAGGCACTAAATTTTGCACTTGAAATTCTCCTCCACCCAAGGACTATCCAGTTTCCTTGAGAAGCTTCCTTCTTTCTCTTTCTCAGGGTCAGTTCCCTCTGGGTGTCTCTCTTTGCCATGTGTGGCCCTGACACAGTGATCACAAGGCCTGGAACTTCCCTAATTGCTAGTCCAAGGACAGAAAACTGCAAATTGTGCTTGTTACCACACACGCACAATTTCCTGCCCTCTTGGATGCCTACCCTTCCTCCACTGGTGCCACTTTAGAAGCAGGCTCCAAAAGACCCAGATGAAGGGAAGTGAAAATGAGATATTGGAATTCTCTATAGCTCCAAATATGCCCAAAGAATGTTCCAGCATGGCCATGGGAGCAAGATGTCCACCCAGTTCTGGGTATAGATTTCCTGGGCTCATTGCACCCCTCTGTCCTGCACAGCACTCCATCCTGATCTGTCCCTTCTCCTCCCAGCCCTGCTCTCTCCCTGACTCTCTCAACTCATGCAACTCATTAATTTGTTTCATTAAGAACTCTTCCAAGACGAGAAAACAGGCCGGGTAGAAAATGAGCTATGGAATGACACAGTGCCAGGCTGAACTCAGCCACTTACTGATGAGGGCAAACGACTTGATCTCTGACTTCACTTGCCCATCTGCAAAACATTGATAATGATGTACATCCCACCAGAGACGTATAAGGATTAAATCAGACAATGTTTGCAGTGAGTTTAGGTAGGTAACAGTAGCCGCTCTAAGGAAAATCCCCAAATCTCAATAGTTTGATTCAAAAACGTTCCTTACCCATCCATCTAGTAGGCTGATGATCTAGAGCTCTCCTTCACCAAGTGACTTAAGGACCTAAGTAAGCCCTCCATTCAGCTGGAGTGTTGTGTTGGAGTCCCTTCAGATAGCAGACAGAATTGCACAGTTACAGGCCAGGCCCAGATGAGGCACCATTCACTTCATGTTCTCATAGATTAAAGGTACACATATTCCATTCACATGCAAGAAAGACTGAGAAACAGAGCTGCTTCGTGTATTTAAGTGGAGGAAGGGCTTGCTAGGCAACTAGCCAGTCTCTGCTTGATGTATTTTTAGCACAGTGCCTCATATACCACAAGAACTCGATAAACAGAAGACACTATTGTACTTCCATTCCATCATTTCTCCCAACACCACTGTATCAGAAATAACAGAATCTTAGGGTAGGCTTGGCCACACAAAAAAATGAATAACTGAATACAGATCATATAAAAAATATAAAATATGTTTCCTTTTTTAATGTACGGCAATCATCTACCTAGCATAATTCCTATTCGGAGTTTTCCCTACTCTGTGGGGACAGTGAGGTAACATACATTGGAATGACTGGGTTCAAATTCTGGCCCTCTGGGCTGGTACAGCTCAGCGGTACAGCATCTGCCCACGGTTATGCCCTAAACAAGGACAGAGGCAAATCCACATCAGGAATTCTGGTTTTCTTATCTCAACACAAAAATGTTTACACATTCTCCAAAAATGTCATATTACCTCATTTGCAAAGCTACACATACTGTCAGGAACAGCCTTCCTATCCCAATACATGCTACTCATTCCTCAGGTCTCTTTGTAGATGTCACCTCCTTCAGGCAGTCTTCACTGTCCTCTACACTAAGTTGGTTGAATAACTGTATGGTATAGCTCCACATTGGCTAGTGTTTCCCTTCCCAGAACATTCACCATAGATTATTAAAATCCCTGCTCACTTTCTGTCCTTGACAGATCATTTTTGAAGAAGGGGCCTGCTGTAAGAACTTCAGGGCAGATCTGATGCCAGTACTCGCCAAAGTCTTTAATAAAACTGAAAGGGAAGGAACACTCCCAAAGTCATTCCTGGAAGCTAGTATCACCCTGATTCCAAAACCAGGCAAGGATCCAACCAAAAAAAGAGCACTACAGGTTAGTTTTTCTGATCTTGGCAAACAGAATGCAACAAATCATCAAAAACAAATTGGACACTATGATCCCAGGGATGCAAGGATGGCTCCACATACATAAATCAATAAATGGAAATCCATCGTATAAACAGAAACAAGGACAAAAGTCACACGATCATTTCAATAGATGCAGAAAAAAGCCTTACCAAAATCCAACAGCCATTCTTGATCAAAATCCTGAAGAAAACAGGTATTGAAAGAGCCCATGTCAGTCTGATAAAAGCTATTTACAACAAACCTACTGCCAACATCATGTTAAATGTGTAAAACTGAAAACTATTCCCTTAAAATCAGGAACAAGATAAGAATGCCACTATCACCACTCCTGTTCAACACAGTCCTTAAAACATTAGGCAGAACAGTAAGGCAAGAGAAAGAAAGAAAAGAGATATGTATAAGAAAGAAAGAAATCAGAGTATCATTATTTGCAAATGATGTGATGCTCTATTTACAAGACTCTTGGAATCAATAACCAAATTCAGCAATGTAGTGAGATACAAATCAATATACAAAAATCAATAGAGTTCCTTTACACTAATAATATGAACTCATCAATAAATAAAAAAACCAATAACAGTAGCAACAAGAAAAACTAAATAATAATTAACCTAAACAAGGAAGTAAAAGATATCTATAATAAAAATTACATTTCTCTGAAAAAGGAGATTAAAGAGAACATCAGCAAATGGAAGAAGATATCCCATGTTCCTGAAAAGGCAGAACCAAGATAATCAAAATGCTTATCCAAACAAATTCCAAGATTTAGCACAGTCCCAATCAAAATATCAACAACATTCCTCACAGATCTAGAGAAAAAATTCAGACACTTATATGGAACAAGAAGGGTACCAGAAGAGTAAAAACAACAATAGCAACAATAGCAAAGCAGGAGACATCACAATACTGGATTTGAAATAACTTTACAAAGTTACAATGATAAAAACAGCATGGTACTGGAAAAAAAACATACATGTGGAACAGAACAGAGGAAACAGAAATGACCCCAAACACGTTCAGCTATTTGATCTTGGACAAAGAGGTCAAAAGTATACACTGAAGGTAAAGTAGCCTCTTCAATAACTGGTGCTGAGAAAAGTTCATATCCACATGCAGGAGATCGAGCCTAGACACAACCATGTATCATACCATGTACTAACCTTAAAAATAAAATGGTGCAAATGTTAAAACAGAAACAATCTGCTGGAAGATAAATAGGTAAAACTCCTAAATGCAAAGGTAAAGACAGGACTTTTTTATAACAGAACTCTAATGTACAAGAAATAATACCAATAATCAACAAGTGTAATCATATCAAATTAAAAAGCTTCTGTACAGCAAAGGAAACAACCACAGAGTGAACACACAACATACAGAATGGGAAAAATTTTGCTAGCTACTCCTCAGATAGAGGACTAAGATCGAGAGCCACAGTGATGACGAACCTTTTAGAGCTCTCAATGATACAAACAGCCTAGTGTGGCACCTGTGCCATAGGTTTGCAATCACTGATCTAGACTATATAAAGAAGTCAAGAAAATTAACCCCTTCAAATAAAAGACCCAATGAAAAAGGGGGCACCCAAAATGAATAGACACTTCTCAGAAGTATAGATGGCCAATAAACACATAAAAAATGCTCAGCATCACTGGGATATTAGACAAACACAAATTTCAGAAATACCGAGTAGCCTGCTGTTGTAGTCAGGGTTTGTACACACAGAACAATTCAGATCAGGACATGGAGTTTATAATATTTTTATAAGGGTCACTGGGAGCTAACACCGGAAAATGCAGGAAATTTATCCACAACACCAAAGACGTAGATTATTTAGTCAACGGTCTAAACCCCACAGCACATGTCCCACATGAGTCCAGATAAAAATCCAGAGCTCAGGACAAAGCCTCCACGAGTCCAACTGGAGGTTCAGAGCCCACAAGAAGGACACACGCCAGTCTCTTTTATGGATCTGTGCCGGGAAGACCCAAGGGACAGCGGTGGAAGCCAGAAAGTCCATGCCAGCAGGATGACAGAGCTGCGCTAGTGGGATGAGGGTTCTACGCTGGAGCCAAGAAGTCACACTCACAACAAAGAGCAGGGCTGTCCTGAAAGGCACCACAGCCGTCCTCAGCGACACGGAGGCCCCGAGCTCCTCAGAGGACAAGCACAGTCGGGTATGTGCCAGGAAGCAGCGTGACGAGTTCATCCTGGAGACCAGGCAGCACGTGTCTTCTCCTCCAGACCCAAGAAGCAATGCTCGATGTGAGGACCAGAGCTTCTCCAGGAGAACCAACAGCTCAGACAGCAACTCGTAGGAGAACCCACAATATCTCCTTAATGCCTCAACCCTCAACACCTCCCTTCTTCTCCACCTATTTAGCCTGGTAACCTTCCTCAGGTGGAGCATCTTCTCTCAATGCATGCTGATGTAATCCAGCTGGCGTTAAGTTGACCACCAGTTTTCAAACCATAACAATCCACCCCTGGTCAACTTAATAACCACACGCATTACCTTAAACTATAGTCCTTAGCGGCAGATTTGTTACATTAATAAAACAATTACATATATTCACAATTTTTTACACTTAATTCCTGCATCAAAAACAAAACATTTAAAGGGTGACCAAGATTCAACATTAAGGGGCTGGGGATTTAGCTCAGTGGCATAAGCGCCTGCCTTGCAAGCAGGCAGTCGTGAGTTCGATCCCTGGTACCGATAAAAATGAAAACGACAAAAAAAAAAAAAAACCAAAAAAAAGATTCAACATTAAAACACAGTACTTTGACAAATCAACTGGGTTACAAACATATAACGCATTAAAATCACACTAAAAGAACAATTACAATCACAGTCCTTGCTTCCCATTAACTTTTAACATAGCATGACAAGACTAAAATATAAGAATCTCCTGCAATTCAAATGTACTCTTGATTTTTCCATTGTCCTGTTCTTCTAAACAACCATGTTCTCTGTTTCATCTTTACAACCCACAGTTCCAACGGAGCCTTCTTCTTGGCCAAGTGTTTCAAATTATTCTACTGGCTCTTTGCTCTCAATTTTCAAAATAGATCTGGTCAAAAGTTCTCTAAAGTAACCATGCTACCATTTCAAAAGTAGACTGCACTGAAATTTTTCTGCCACTCGGGTAATACCTCTAAATACAAACAAGAAGACCAACTTTCATCTAAAGCACAGTATACTACCTGGACTCCAGCAGACATTGCAGTCTTTCTCAACAGAAGCCTCCCAAGCTTCATCTTAATTGGTAGCATCTCCATCAGTCTCCAATCTTCCAGGTTCTGACCAGAGTCTCCAAAATAATACAGCACACAGGGGCTGTCTCTTTGGCCAGTCTCTCAAATATTTTCCAAATTAATTTCCAAAGCTCTTAAATCACATGGCCAGGCAACATAACAGCAATGACCCCACTCCTCTGGTACCAATTTCTGTTGTAGTCAGGGCTTGTACACAGAGAACAATTCAGATCAGGACATGGAGTTTATAATATTTTTATAAGGGTCACTGGGAGTTAACACCGGAAAATGCAGGAAAATTATCCACAACACAGACATAGATTATTTAGTCAATGGTCTAAACCCCACAGCACATGTCCCACATGAGTCCAGATAAAAATCCAGAGCTCAGGACAAGGCCTCCACGAGTCCAACTGGAGGTCCAGAGCCCACAAGAAGGACTCACACCAGTCTCTTTTATGGATCCGTGCCGGGAAGACCCAAGGGTCAGCGGTGGAAGCCAGAAAGTCTATGCCAGCAGGATGAAGGAGCTGTGCTGGTGGGATGAGGGTTCTACGCTGGACCCAAGAAGTCCTGCTTACGCCAGAAAGAATGGTTATCATCAAGAAACTAAATAATAACAAATGCCAGTAAGGATGAGGGTAAAAGAGAATCATTCTAACAGTTGGTTGGAATGTAAACTAGTACAGTCACTATGAGATTCCTCAAAAAAACTAAAAACAGAAATTCCATTTGACCCAGCTTCCTATTCGCCTTCTAGGTGTCTTCCTGAAAGAGTTAAAGGCATCATATTACAGTGATACATGCATAGCCATGTTTATAGCAACATAATTTACATTAGTTAAATCTTGGAAACAATTTATATGCCCATCAACAGATAAACAGATCAAAACGTATAGTATTTATAAACAATGGGGTATTACTTTGCCATAAAGAAGGATTAACTAGAGGCATTTGTAGGAAAAGGGATGTACCTCAAGAATAATAATAAGCCAGGGATATAGCTCAGCCAGCATAGTGCCTGCTTGGCAAGTGTGAGGCTGTGAGTTCAAGTTTCAAGTACAAAAAAAAATGAATAATGGTAAGAGAAATAAATAAAAAATAGAAAAGAGTTAGGATGTATTGTTATAACGGTTGCTACACTGTGTCAACTTGAGAAGTTAAGAAGTTTAATTAAGCACTCAGCAGGGGTTCAGGGGCTTCACTTTGTAAATATCCTCATCTTGTGCAAGGGAAGGGCATGGAGATGGTCTGAGCCCTACACCCACCCTAGGGCAGATAGCCTGCTTACAACTTAAGGGAGGAAAAGAGGTTTGCTGTCCCACATCTTGGCACTTGTTGCTTTTGCTGTCTTCCACAGCCATGAACTGTTGCCCCTCTGCCATGTTACCCTACCTGGGAAACAAATGAGCACAGACTGAAACCTCTGCAAAATGCAAGCTAAATAAACGTTTCCTCCCTTAATTTTGGAATCGGGTATTTTGTTTCAGCCACCAGAGAAAAATAATCAGGTGTGCAAACTCCTCCACAATAAATGTAAACATGTACTGCAAACATGTACTACCAAAAATCATAGCATTAAAAGGGATATGGCTTTGATTACTAGTTTATGGATAGCATTAGCGCAAGCACAACATTATCTGTTGGGGTCCTTGAATCACAAATTGAGTCTAGGGGACCTCCAGAGCCAGACTGGAACCCTGAAGCTCTCCACTCTTTTCTGGTCACTGCTGGAAGGCCACGGACCAATGACTGCTTTGGTTCTCGCAGGGTAAGACAAAACCTACTGCAGACAGTTAAGGCATCTGGGGAAACTACAGTTTGATCATTGTCCCCTCTCGCCTTTGTCCTTGCAAAGATGCTCTGTTCTTCTCACCAGCCCACCACAGTTGCCATTACAGTTCCCGGAAACACCTAGTGCTCTGCATTGTCCTTGACTCAGATATAACAAATAAATACCCAGGTTCTGGGTACCCCGTGGCCTTTTGTCCCCCAAGAACAACTGCTCATCCCAGATTCCTGCCTGCATCTCTATTTTGTCTCGCCTTTTCGTTCCCACCGTGTCTGCAACACTGGGCAGGAGACTGAGGACTCATTGCAGGGATCCCTGATACTTGGCACTGCAGAGAGTCTCCAATAGTTATTATCTGGTTCATAGTAACTGTGCAAATGTTGGCCATGTAAAATAATGAAGAATCCTGATCCTTCTTCAAAACAGTAGTGGGCCAGGCCATTTCAATTGTTACAACTCCACAAAAATCTAAAAATAGTCTTAAGATGAGGAAGAAATCTCAGTGTCCTCCTTTAAAAGGTTAGCAGGAAATAAAACATTGCTTCAGAAGGAAGACACGCCCCTTTCGTCATGCCCCGGTACTCCTGAGCAATTTGTCATCTACATTTCTCAGCTGAGCAAAGGACAGTGCAAAAAACACCCTCACACATTAAAAACCTAGAGCTCTCTACCCCCACTGATTGGGGGTGTCGTAACCAGAGCTCTCCCTTGAGGGCAGCTTTGACTGATCACACATCTTTGTGGACCTGAATCTACTGCCCTCCTGGGGTGTCCTGGCCTTCACCAACTATCACCCAGACTGAGACATTTCTGGTCTCAGTGTACACTCTTAGGCACAAATGGACCTCCAGCCAGCTTGATTCACTGGGTAGAGAGATTTGCATTCTGACAGTATTTGCAGGGCTCCGAACTGCACAAGCTGTGGCAAAAATGCCTTACTAACTTCTACACCAGACACAGTCGGCCAAACTGGGGCCCCTTTCTCAAAAGCTATAGGGTATAAGACTTCAGTGTGGGCACTGCTGTGGAAACCTCTCAGGGGCAGGCAGAGCAAGGGCAGTATTCTCAGACCTATATATATTTCTTGCTCAACACGGCTGAATCCAAATGCAGACTCGCTACTGCAAATCTCATGTGAGCGCAAGTACATGTATGAACATTCCCATGCGTACACAAACACAGTAACCTGAGTGGCCTTCCAGAAAAACTGAAGAGAGGGTACAGAGTTTGTCTCCCATATCCTTGTATCTTCGGTGCACTTGGAAGAAGTCTCAGCTGAGCCAAGTCACACAGAAGGAATATAAAAGCGTCTGCAACCGAAAGTGTAAGTGTTAACGGGTCCTCCAGCAGTACAGTTACCAGCTCCACCTGCGAGACTGCAGGCAAGGAAGGGAAACTAAACAGGCTGAGAGATGTGGCCATCCCTGCAAAAAATGTGAAGACGGGTAGCGGGCAGCCTGCGCTACCGGGGTTTAGCTGAGAGTGCCCCGCGGCGGTGGCCAGGTCTCAGGCTCTTGTCCTCGCACACCTGGCCTGGAGCAGTCTCCTCCGATTCACAGCAGCTGGGTCTCAGCTCTAATCCTGACCTCACAGACCGGGTAAAATCAACTCCCCCTGCTCCCAGATTCCGCACGCAGCGGAAGGCACGTACGCGTGCACACACGCACAACGCCAGGTCAAGCCACCCAGATTAGTCTGGCCCGCCGGGAGTCAAACGGGAGAAGCACGCAGCAGCAGGAGGCCCACAGCAGGGCTCGCAGAGACCCAGGCTCCCGGAAGCGGGACGTCGGGGGCGGGGCGTCCGGAGGCCCCGCCCCGTGACGTAGGCCCCGCCCCTGCGCCCAAAGCAGGCGGCGCCTGCAGTCTCAGCCCGCGGAGCCGCGGCGGGAGGTGCGGAGCCGGCAGCGGCTCGGGACGATGCGGCGCGCCTAGGATGCTGCCGCGCCTGCTAGTGCCTCTGGCGGCGCTCCTCGGCCTGAGCCTCGGCCCGGGCACGGGCACGCACGGTAAGCCCCGCGACCGTCCCGCTGGCTGGGCGGGTGGCAGACCGGGTCTCAGGCTCCCCTGCTGGGGAAGTGGAAGAGACTGAAGTCGGGGTGGGCAGAGATGTGCGTGCACAGCCAGGGGTCGCCACCCCCACCTCCCACCTCCCCAAGAAACAGTTCCAGCATCCTCTCCACAAACGATGTATCTTGTCTCTCTGACTCCTGTGATGGATGAACTGCTTGTGCCCCTAGTGAATGAGTTTGGTCCTCCCTGACTCCTGTCAGCCTTTTCATCTCACTCTATCCCTGACTTCTCCTTCACCGGAACTGACGACCCCCATCTGGTCACCCCTGAAAGTCTTCAGCTCCCCGCTCACATTTTTCATCCACCTTCCTTCACTCTGACCCCTACCCCTTAGCTTAGGCTGAGACGCGAGGAAGAAAGAAGGAAAGGGCCCAAAACAGAAGAGACTGAGAGAGAGATAGGGGGAGCAGAGGCCAAAAAAAAAAAAAAAGCTATCGAGACTCTGAAATATAAAGGAAAACTCGAGGTCATTCATGTGATCGAGAGCTGAAACGGGGATATGCCCAAACCCTGCGAGGACTGGCTGCGTTTTTCACTTTCCATCTCATGTTTTGCAATCGAAACAGACTTACGTTGGAAGTGTCGACATTTACTGCCTCTGATCCCCACTACTCAGGAGACTAGGGAGGAGAATCACAGGTTCAAGGCCAGCCTGGGCAAGCTAGCAAGACTGTCAGAAAGAAAAGATGGGAAGCTGAGGAGGGGAGAGAGACAAGAAGAAGAGAGCCAGGGGAAGGGAGGGGGAGGAGAAAGAGACAGGGAAAGATAGAGTAGAGGCGCAAACATAGCGTATGAAAGAAAGCAAGGGTCGGGCAGATGTACTGTCCATGGGAAGATCAGAAGCATGATTTGATAGATGATGATCAGTTAGAGAACAAGGGACCTATGACCAGAGTTGCTGTCAAATGGAGACACTTTAAGGAATCAAAAATGAAGGAAGGGACTGGATAGGGTGACTCATACCTGTGATCCCAGCTTCTGGGAAGGCTGAGGCAGGATTGAAAGTTTGAGGCTAACTTGAGCACCTCACAAGACACTGCCTCAAAACTTAATCATAAAAAAGGTTTAGGACGTTGCTCAGTGGTAGAGCATCCCTACGTTCAACCCAGTGCACCCCTGGGGTTGTACCGCAGGAGAAGAAAGGGAGAAGGGAAACTCATCCACTTTGGTCCTTGCGTACATTTCAGCTGCCTAATCATCAGCAAGATTCTTAAAGTAGTTGTGTTGATTGCATTCTTTCAGAAGAAAGGATGGTCTCAGCAAGACTAAATAATCTGCCCAGTGTTGGTATGAGACTCCTGGAGTCAGTGTTTCTCATGGTGAACGGTGTGTGCTGGGGGTGAGGGGGTGGCAGGGTAGAGACAGAGGTTAGTGTTTAGTACCCACCCCCTCCCAGAGCCCATGGTGCTGGCTCTTTCTGGAGATGTTCTCGCTGCAGTCTAGAACCAGGGCTAATTCCTTCTTCTGTCTTGTCGAAGACTGAGGTGGGCATCTGGGTATAGGTAAATCCTTTCTAGAAGCCAGGGAATGGGGGAGCCCAGGAGACCTGAGGAGAGAAATAGGCAGCTGTCAACAAGCAGGACATCTGTGTCCTGAAGAGTGTCAAAGAAATGGCCTTGGACTGGGGACCAGGAACAGGGGTGGGAGCAGGCCTTGGGATACTGCTGGAGCAGGGATAAAGGACTGGGAAGACTCAGGGACTGGCTTACCCGAGTGCTCACTTCTTACATGCCTAAGCTCTGGACACACTGCTTCTCCACTGGGAGGTGTCCCAGAAAGCTGTTCTCAGATACTGCTGCAGCTTCTGAGCACAGGCAGCAAAAAGTCATGATGTAAAGATACAACGTGAACTTTGGAATCAGACACATCTAAATGTAAGTCCCTGCTCTGCTCTTAACCAGCTGTGTTGGCTTTGGGCAAGGCACTTAACCGTCTGTGAGCTTCCATGTCTTCTTTAGTAAACTTGGGGTAATAAATGCTGTCTTGGTTACTTTTCTTTCATTGCGGAGACAAAATGCCTAATGCCTAAAACTATGGAAGGGAAGGTTTGTTTAGCTCACAGTTTGTACTCCACTGGCTCCAAGGCAGAGTGGCAGATGGCAGGGGACAACAGTTCATGGCGGTGGAAGACAGAAAAAGCAAACGAGCAAAAAAGGAGGAGGATGAGAGAAGACACACCCATAATCCCAGCACTGGACAAGAATTAATGTCAAATTCTAGAAGCCTGCCCTCATGACCACATGAGGCTTTGTGGGGACATCAAGACACAACCATAACAAATGCCTACTATTCAGGGCTGCTGTGATTACTAAATGGAACATATGTAAAGCACCAGGCACAGTGCTCAGCTTATAAACTACCCAGTAAATAAGTTACAGTTCTCACCATCATCACCATCCTTCTTGTTGTCCTTGGTAGTGAACTCTGCTAGCTCTGATGTTGACGCTTTTCTCCCTAGGCTCAGAACTACCCAAGCCTCCAATGGTGTGGTTTGAAGCAGAATTCTTCCATCACGTCCTGTGCTGGATGCCCATCTCAAATAGGTCCCAAAGCACCTACTATGAAGTGACGCTCCAGTGGTAAGGAAAGAGGAGGTAGAGGGAGGGAGGTGGGAAGAAGGGGTTCAATCCTACTGCTCCCCTTTAAGGAGAACATACCTGCCAAAAGGAGACAGGGCCAAAAGGGACCCTAGTGCTTGTCCACTCAGTTGACAAGAACTTGTTGGGGCTCATATGTCCTGAGCAGTATGCTGGGCACTCTGAGGTGAGAGGTCAGGGTACTGCCTTTACCCTGAGGTCTTTTCCATTTTGCTAGAAGAGCAAGAAAAGCATCCAGAGAATCACTGGAGCGTGAGGAAGCCCTTGTGACCACGAAGGTAGCTGGAAGCGATTAGAGCTTAGTCTATGGTGTGAGTTATCAGGTCTTTCGTGGGAAAAGGCACTTGAGCTACTCACATTCTAGATCTCTCGATCTCAGAGAAGTTGGGGCAGGGTTCCATAACCAAGGGAGACTGCAGATAGAGGACCTGGACCCAGGAAATCCCCTGAGGGCTGTTCCAGTTTCTCCATTATGAGAACTCTCTGCCCCAACCCCTTGCTGCCCTCTTAAAGGAAGTAGGTTTGGGCTTAAGTTCCTCCCTCAGTGTCTACCCTGTATATCCTCAGGTATGGAAGCGAGCTCTGGACCTTCCTGCCCCACTGTAGCCAAGCCCGAGACCTGTGCTGTGATATCACCAAGTTCACCCTGGACCTATACCAGACCAATGGTTACCGGGCCAAAGTCCGGGCGGTACATGGCAGCCAATACTCCAACTGGACCTTCGCCAACACCCGCTTGTCTGTGGATGAAGGTACTTTTCCTCCCCTTGACCTAGGGCATGGTTTTTGGGGTCCCTTTGAGCCAGAATCTAGTGTGGTGCTCTCCTCTCTGTTGCCCAAGTTCCATCACACAGCCAAGCTTCCTGACCTGAGAACTTATTGCCTAAACAGGCCTGAGTCAGGACTTTTTGGAGAACATTAGATGAAATTAGCCAAAGTGATCTGAGATTTAAAGAGGAACTGTAATTGTTTATCCTGCAGAGGAATGACTTGGGGCCTCTGAGTCACAAACACCAGGCTGATGTATTTGAGGTTTGGGGAGGGGAAGCGAATCTATAAGCACGCAGGGAAACAAACAGTAGGCAGACTTTGGATGAGATTTCCCCTCATCTAGGGGTCAATTCCTAGAAGTCACCCTTATGCCATAGGAAGGTTGTGACTGAAGAAAAGACTGGAGAGGTAACAGGAAAGGGTAAGCCCTGACTCAGTGGGATTCCCGTATTCCATATGTTGCACCTGAACCACATGTGCACCCTACGCTCGCTTCATAGGAGAGGCCATGTCCTGGAGGTCCCGTCCTCCCAAATGCCTGCTCACTGCTAGTGCTCAGGCTGCAGAGACATTCACAGGGAACATGTTTGAGAAATATATTTCCAGGTCCCAGTCTGACAAATTCGCATAGCCTATGTCCAGAATGTGCCAGGGCACGCACGTTTTAAATATGCTCTCTGAGAAGAGTCTGCATGGCTTTGGATTGGGACACCTGTGGCCGCATCTTCAGGAGGGGTAAAGCGTGGCCCCAGAGCAAGACACAGATGGGATACCTTGGCCCTCCCTAGCCCCAGCTCATGGCTCTGCCCTTCTCCCCTCAGTGACTCTGAAGGTTGACAGTGTGGAGCTAGAGATGCACGAGGGCTTCATCTTCGGGAAGATCCAGCTCCCCAGGCCCCAGGTGGCCCCTCCAGGTATCACATATGAAAGCATCTTCAGTCACTTCCGCCAGTACGAGATTGCCATTCGCAAGGTGCCAGAAAGCTTTAAGGTATGGGGTCCCCCAAGGCCGCAGGGCCAGGGCTCCAAGGGCTTCCTGTCCCCTGGGCTGTCATCACCTTTGTGTGCCATGAGTTCTGTGCACCAAGTAGAGGCAGGTCCTCAGGAAAACATAGATGCATAGCTTCAGCCCTCAGACGAGCTCCTGCAGGATGGTGGGGAAGATACTGTCTACTGCTGTGGGCCAGCACATAAAAACAAGTGACAGCTGTCATCTCTAACTTCCTGGCAGTGGGTGTTGCATTCCATTTTCAAAGTGAGGAAACGAGGCTGCATAACTTACGCAAGGACTCCCTGAGAGGGAAATCTGGTATCCTCTTCTTCACAAGTTTATTCTGGCCTCATGTGCAAAGATCTTCTGCTTCAGCAAAAGACTCCCTTTTCTCTAATAATACAAAACTGGTTGTGGAGATGACAGACAGGTTGGGCTGCACTGATTATCTTGGGGTTTGTTATCTTAGAAAAAGAAGACTGAAGGCTTTGGGCACAGTCATCTCTAAAGTCCAACCTCCCTCCCTGCAAGCCTCAGAGTGTAGTTCAGAGGCAGAGCATTCCCAGCGTGCTCAAGGACCTGGGTTCAAACTCCGATCTGCATTTAAAAAAAAAAAGACCCCTCCAGCTGTCAGCTTCTGGGTGCTGTGGTGTGAGGGGATGTGGCTATTATTTTTGTTTTTATTTCAGTTCTCAACTGAGAAAGTAGACCATGAAAACTTCAGCCTCCCAATCCCTGGAGAGGTGGGGAAGTTCTGTGTCAAAGTGAAGCCATCTATCAGCTCCCGAACCAACAAAGGGCTCTGGTCAGAGGAGCAGTGCGTCATCCTCACCAAGCAGTGTAAGTTGGCAACCAGATGGAAAGGGCATGGCGGGCACAGCTCAGAAGAGTTCACTAGGGGCTGGGGGCTGGGCATTGTGCAGAGTACTGCCCTGCATCTCCCAATCCTTATGGAGCTCTAAGAGGGTCCTGTCTTTCCCATTCCAGAGATGTGCACACTGAGGCTCCATATCCAAACTGTAGAATCACACAGGGGGCGCGATGGCATAACCTGATCCCCTAATTTTGGGGTTCTCCCAGGGGCCTCCCCAGGCACCCCGCAGTCAGCTGTGCTGCTTCCTGTCTGTGCTGTTCTTCCTCAGAGCCCGGTGTGAAGGGCTTCTCCCTGCCCTCCCTCCCCCTAGAGGAAACAGGACTGAACTGGCTCCTTGAAGAGCTGCTGAAGTCAGAAACCCAACTGCAGGCTCTCGGCCGGCCGCTGGGGAGAGGGTTCAGGTGTAAAGCCACGTCCTGCCCCTGAGGATCCTGCAGTCTGACGTGGGAGGCGGGTAGTTCCCAGAGCAAGGTATAGGTAACAACTCAGGGTCACAGGATAAGTACCCAGATCATGCCAGCAGGAAGTGCTTGGGGGGTACCCCAGCCAGTGTGAACAGGGCCAGCCAAGACAGAAGTACATTTCAGTTTATGAAACCCATTCAGCATCTCATTACTGTTTGAGTCCCATCACAGCCTTAGATACTGCATGGCAGGCAGCCTTAGGAGCCTGGCTGATGTTGTTTTTAAACACTCATTCATTGATAAAAGAACTAGTTCTAACTTGATCTTAGTTTACTGCTTAGAAGGGATGTGATTTTGGGCAGGTGACTGAACGCCTCTGAGCCTCAGAATCCTAAACTGATGGTAATAGAATCTAGCTCCTGAAGTTATCATAGGATCAGCTGATGTTCAGGGAAGTATTTGGTACATGATAGGGGCTATTACTGCACAGCCATCTTATGAGGTAGGAATTATAATTTTTTCCATTTTGTAGATGAACAAACCAAGGCTCAGAAAGATTAAGTAATGGTCCACAGCCTTGCAGTTGGAAGTGGTGCAGCTGGTATTTGAACCATGGTCCGGCCACCCCAAGCCTCTGCTCTTACCTGCTGTACAGCACTGCCTGATAGTTCTGTGTATCATCACTTGAGAGAGCCAGAGCCGACTTAGCATGTCTAATGAGGGAACCCTTCAGGGCAGGGGTCGGCAGGCCAGAGAGGAAAATGGACACATCTAGAACTAAGAGCTACAAGTTGCTTGTAGAGGTGACCTGGGATCATCCCCTGAGTGGCTTCGAGGAGTGGTCAAGGGTCAGTGGGGACTGTTCCTGTGTTTCATGGTGCCAGCCTACAAATGCGTCTCTCCGGCCTGCAGATTTCACTGTGACCAACCTCAGTCTCTTCTTTGCCCTCATCCTGCTGCTTTGTGGAGCCCTGGCTTACTGTCTAGTCCTCCACCTGTATTTGCGACGCCGGGAGACACTGCCCGCTGTCCTGGTGAGTCTCCTGGGCTCTGCCCCATCCCTCCAGGCACTTTGGAGCTCCAGGGAAAGCTGGGAACTCTTTCCCTCCCAGGCAGGGTGCTCACCTCCACCTCAACCGTGACATTTCCAGGCGACACCCACACAGAGACAGATGGAGACATAAATACAAGGCCCGGTCCCCAGAACTGGTACTTCCCAGTAGCCCAGATACTGCATGCACACTTTTGCTAAGTAATCACAAACCCCAGTGGCTGTGAGGCTTTTGAACCAGCTCCTCTGCATTAGTGCTAGTGATCATCCTGACCTCACAAACGAGAACATCAGACACAGAACGATTGTTCTGTGCACAGGGTCCACAGGGAAGAAATGTCAGGGAGGCAGCCTGTCTTCCTACCCCTTGAGGCCATGAAGGAGGACTCCAGGAGAGGAAGAAATAAGGATTGAAGCTGCCAGAGAGGGAAGGAGAAGGCCGGGACCCCGCCTGTCCCAGGCAGGGGGCATCCATGGCACTGTAGCCTCCTGCACTCAATGTAAAAAACTTGGGCAGCATTTTATGAACCTCAAATTGTCTTTGTCCAGGGTCAGAGGTCCCTCTTCAAAGCCCTAGAGCTGGCCTAATGTGATAGCCAAGGGCTCAGTTGCCAATGATGGAGCTCACTCAGGATAGCAGGGGCCCCAGGGCAGCTCACAGAGGGAAGGGAAACCTCCAGAGACCCGGCTCTCTAGCACAAATAAGAGAGAGTCTCTCTAAAACTATTTTGAATAAGAACTCCTGGAAGGAAGGGGGGAGAGGACGCAGTGGGACTGCTTGACTTTTCCAGGCAAGAAAGAAGTGCGTCCCCAGCTCCGTGCCCTGCGTACACAAGTGTGGGGAGCAGACTAGGGGACGGGCAGCTCTTGCAGCCCTCAGTGGTTTGCCGTGCTTCCTGTTCCAGCTGAAGCGTGTAGACACTGCCTTTCCTCTGTGCTCCAGGCAGATCAGTTCGAAAACACATTTGCACGGGTCTTCTCTGTAGCGCCCTGAGTGCGTACTACATGCAGGGCCCGGAACTGGGGCGCTGGCGGTGTAGAGATAAACTTGGACGGGGCCTGATCTTCGGGCCGGAGACTGAGATGTTAGCTCTAGGGCAGAGAGGAGGGGGAAGGAGTTCTGGCTGTGATGGATGGGACATTGCTAGTTGAGGGTCAGGACAGGCATGTCGGATGAGTCAAGTGGTGATTGAGCTAGTTACTGAACACCCACCACATGCAAAATAGCATTGGGAAGAAGCTGATTAATGTGGCTGCTGGTCCCCGGGGACTTGACTGCAGCCAGTATGGACGCGGTTAGCTTTCATGCAAAGCAGTGAGAGAGGAGGGGATGAAATTTTCATAGAAATGACAAGTCAAGTCCTTTGGTGCCTTTGGAGCACAGTATCAAATGTCCTGCAAGATATTTCCTCCTGCATATAAATACAGCCCAGTGGCCCTCATCCAGTGACCTCCATCATGATTAAGTCTGTAAATAACTTATGCTGCCAAAGGCACTTTAGGCTACTTTGACCTGTTTTTACAGCCCGTCAAGGTAAGCAGGGGGTCCCAAAGCAAGACAGTTGAGTACAAATTCCAGGTTTGCTCTTTGCTGCTGTGTGGCTCGGTGGATCACTTACCTTCTCTGAACCTCAGCTTTCCTCGAGAAGCAGAGGTGATGATATTTCCCTTACAGAATTATCAGAGGGTTCGGTTCAGTTCAGCACATTGAGTACCCTCGATGCATCACAGGGTGCTCAGCATGGCACATGACTGGCTGACTGTTGCAAATCTGCCCTCGTTTTCCGGGTAAAGTAAGTCCCTGACTTCCAAACGAGGTCCCTTCTTGGAGAATTGTTGGTCAGCTAGATTTGCTGGTAAGCTGATAGAGTCCTACACAGTACATCTGTACAGGAGTTACTGCATTCAAAGACTCACATGTAGCCATGACTGGTTAAGTTCCTGTTACCGTCACCTTATTTGGCGATTAAATCCCAGCTCTGCCTCTTACTGTCACTTGGGCCAAATTACGTATCTTCCCTGACCTTCAGTTCCTCACCGGCAAAGTAGAATTATGAAAGTGTGTGCCTCCTCACAGCAGATAAGCAACAGTAAGTCAGTCATCGAACCTCTGAGGGTCTACTGGTGCCAGCTCAATTTAGACTGTGGGACACGGTGGCAGACAAGCTCGACAGTGGTAGCTGTCCAGGGGCCTGTGTTCTGTGAAGGGTGAATGTAGACACATGTTCTGGGAGAGGGCAGAAAACAAAGAAAGAGAATAATTACAGGAACTGAGTGCCAGGAAAAAGTAGACAAGGAGAGACTGGAGAGGATGGCTGGACAATCAGGGAGGCTTTCCTGGAGAGGAGACATGAGTGACAGGAGAACCGAGCCACACGAGAAGCAACACTGAGCAGAAAGCTCAGCGGGCCCAGAAGCTCCGAGACAGCACACAGGATGTGTTCGGGGACAGAGGGAAGCCGTAGTGAGGAGGGGAGAGAAGGGGAGAGGAGGGGGCCGGAGTGGCTCCCCGGAAGCCCTTGGCAGTTAGCGGGGAGCGGGTGCCTGGCTGCTGATTCCTTCACCTCGTGCTGCAGCCCCCCTGTATTGTTTGGGTCACAGCTCAGGGAGTAGAGAAATGAATTTGGTATCTGGTAGCCAGAATTTTAAAAAACAAACTGGGTAGGACCGGATAGAATAACTTGGACAGAGTATGTCTTGGGACATGGATAGAAGCATTATTTTTGTGAGATTTGTCTCAGTGATTTGTATGTGAGTTACCTATGCAGGTTATTATGTAATGTTTATTTATTTATTTATTTTTTCATTTGGGATCATTGTTTAAAAAAAGCTTGAAACACGTTTCTAGAAGGGTTGGTCGACCCTGCCGTCAGGTTTGAAAATCCTGGGGATCGAGTTGTCTGAGCGCTTTCAGGCTCCCCTTCCTCCTGGGCCTGGACCAAACAGAGGAACGCCCCAGGAGCAAAGCTTGACTCCAGAGCACACCCCAAAGAGCTCACTGGTGTGGCCCAGGCTCTGCAGCCCCTGCTGAGCAGCCTGTCTCACTGTCTTCTCGTCCTTAGGTCTTCAAGAAAGCCAACCCCTTCGTTCTGGTCAGCAAGCTGCACTACCCAGAGGTGCAGGACACCATTCACCCCCTCGAGGTGGAGACCTTCCTGAAGGTGTCCTCACAGCTGAGGAACTCGGACCTGTGTAGCAGCGTGGACAGTGGCTTCAGCAGTGCCAAGCCATCCCAGCAGCTGGAAGAGCCCAAATTCCTCTCTGCCCCCCACCCACAGAGCCCCTGTGGGGCTCTAGGCAAGGGGGAGCCCCCAGATCTTAAGGGCAGCTGCAGTGGCAGTGACAGTGGCAGTGGCAGCAGCAGCAGCAGCACAGACAGCGGGATCTGCTTGCAGGAGCCGAGGCTGAACCCTGGCTCTGAGCCTCCTTGGGAGGAAAAGATGGGGAGCACAAACCAGGGCCGGGACGACAGTGGGATTAGCCTCGTCCGAAACTCTGAGGGCCAACATGGGAGTCCGCAGGGCAGCTTGGCCTCGGGCCACATAAGTCTCCCGGGGCCTGAGGTCCCTGAAGAAGACGACCCAGCCATAGTGGCCTTCCAGGGCTACCTGAAACAGACCAGAGGCACTGAAGAGAAGACCTGCCTGGAGAAAGAGACTCCTTTGACAGATGACCTTTGCCCCACGTTCAGGACATGCCTGGATCCTGAGGCAGGCCGGCCTTCTCCACCTCTGGCCAAGGGCTATTTGAAACAGGATCCCCCAGGAATCACTCTGGCTCCCTCAGGCATCCCAACAGGACAGTGGGACCCATTGACCGAGGAGAGGCCACTCCTGGATTTGACTGCTTGTGACCTGGGACCACCTGACTGGACTTTTGCCCATCATTTTGCCCCTCGGGACTGTCTGGCAGACCCAGGAGGCCTTTTGGGTATCTTTGACTCAGACCCAGTCACCCAGCCTCTGATCTCCAGCCTGTACTCAAGTGAGTGACCCACAGAAGGGGCTGCTTTTTATTTCAGCCACACCTGCTCTCCTGCTGGAAGCAGGAGCAGGAGCCTGGGGATCAGACGAGGATGCAGGTCGCACGCGGTGCAAGCCCCCAGGGTCAGTTGTAGCCTGTTCTCCAGGGCAGGTCAGGCCATCCAGATGGAGCAGTGCAGGGTGTATGGGTGGTTTGCTGAGTGGGCCCTGCATTAGCAGAGCCTCAGGAGCAGGGCAGAGACCTCCTCCTGCCTTGGGCGGTTTTCTGCTCCATAAAGGAGTCTGTGCTCAAGGAACCACAGGTTTTCTTGAGATAACGTCAGGTTGCCAGGCTGAGATCAGTTCAGACCTGCACGCCTCCTTCAGGCCAGCCAGGCGGCAGGGCCCTGGCAGGGTGGAGTACTGTGAGATGGAGCCCCGCACTCCTGCGCCCGCAAGGCTGTGAGGGTCATTTCTAGAACAGGAGCAGAACCGAGTTTGACCAGAGGAGTGGTGGGTCGCGTGGAGATGCTTCTCCACTGGCAGGGAACCTGTCACTGGAAATGCTTTCGGTGTGTCTGTCCAGGCAGTCAGGCAGTTACTATGTCACTGTGGAGCCAAGGAGGGATAGAGGGGCTGAGACCTAGGACATGAAACCCTGCAGACTCTGGGCTACAAAGAAGTGGACTCCAGAACCCACATGCCCAGAGCCAGCTTCCTTTTCATGCCAAGGACTGACATCTAGGAGGAGCCTTTGGCATTGTGCACAGACAACTGCCAGTCACTGGGCCCAAGGGGGCAGATGTGGGCCACGACTTTCTAACTGTTCATTAGGTCAGTTTACAGTCCCCCAGGCAAGGATTCTAGGAGAGAGCACAGGCCTGTGGATGCCCTCCAGGGCCATCTCTCAGCTCTGCATTTCTCCAAACACTGGCCTTCCGGCCCATGGCACTCTCCCAAGAAGCTCAGAGGTGCCAGTCTGATAACCCCCTCTGGAAACTGGCCTATGGGAGGATTGCTCAGGTTTCCCTCGTCAGCTTTATTTATTTATTTTGCTCATTTATTTATTGAAGAAGCAGCATTGTCCAGGGAAGGAATTCTTGGTCTCTTAGGAGCCCAGAGTTCTAGTTTTGCATTCACTGTTTATAGTCGTGTGATATTGGGTCGCATCACTCCTCTTGAACCTTTTTCCTTGTCTGCACAATGGGAAAAGATGCTTGGTTTGTTGAATTCATAAGGACACGAGGAGCCCCTGAGAAAGTGGATGTGATTGTGATGGAGCACAGAATGAGTGGTGTATGGTTTTAAAAAAAAAAAAATGTTATTCCAATAAATTGTCGGGATCAAAGGGGATCCTGGGAAACCACACAGATGTCTGATGAAACAGTGGCTAGGGCGGGGGGGGGGAGACTTGGTTGCCAGTAATTGGGGATGATAATGAAAAAGGTGTGTCGTGTTGCCTTAAGGAGACAGGAATGAGAATTCAGACTCAGATCAGACAGGTCCAGTTACAGAATCCTGTGCTCGCACACACTTAGAGCTGCCTGTGGCTGTGGAAAAAATGCTCAACCTAGGGTCCCCCTGAGTAACACAGAGACGGTTACTGTTCCCAGGGATGTTGGGAGGTTAGGTGAGAACGTCATGCAAAAGTTCAGCACAGCACCAGGCATGCAGTGCTCCATGTATAAATAGCTGTTAACCCTGTAAAGGGAAATAGAGTTTTTCTTGAAATGCAAGAACATGAAAGAGATAAGAAGTTTGCAGAAACTCAGAAAGGAAACAGTTGGAAAATACTAAGTGTTTTGGATGTGAGCTCCAAAGCTGGAAAGGAGAATTTGTGAAATCTGCCCTTCCAGGAAGGGGGCAAACCGGACTTCCCTGCTCGCCTCCCCCCCCACCCCCCCCGCAGAGGTGTGTCCTGGGTGGTTCTCATAAGTGCGGAAGCCACCTGAACACTGTTCAGTCTGCTGCTTCCACGAAAAGCCACATGTGGGTTTGAATCTCCCCCGGCTCAGCCCAGTAGATGGAACTAACCTGGGGCCTCTGATGTGCTGCGCTTTGGATCGCAAGCAAGTGACTGGGGACACCTCGTCTCTATCCCCTGAATCACCTCCAACGCACCTCGCCCCTTTCACTCTGAGAAAGGGAGCAGTTCTCGAGAGGCACCCATGCTAACCGTCCAGAGATTGGCTGACAGCCACCTGCTTATGCATAACTGGAGGCTCCTTGTTGAGATTGGAACAAGATGCAGGGTGTTGCGGCTGGCTTCTGCCCTGTGGAAAAGCCTGCTGGGGCAGGTGGATTGAAACCCGACCAAGGGACGGATATAAAGGTGCAGATAATAGAGAAGTTGTGCTCTGAGCAGGAACTGGAACCGATTTGCCGGAAAGACACAGTGTGTGGAGCAGCCTGCAGGACAGAGGGGTGGCGGGTGGTGCAGGCCAGCCTTTTCCCTTTGCTGGGATGAGTGGGAGTCTACTGGCTCCTCGGCGTGGCCTTCAAGCTGCTCTCAGCACAGGTCAAGGCCTGGGCTGTGGGAGAAGCTGACTGTGTTTTTCTAGGAAGCAGGGCTGATAGAACATTTTCAGTCTTCTCTGGAATTTGGATTAAAGTCCCCAACAAAAGGCCCCAGTTGTTCATCAGCTGAGCAACCTCTTTCGAGGGCTTTTCGAGACTCTGAAAGTATGTGATTCTGTGTTCACATGAGCTAATGGAACTTCCTCTTAGTGCAGAGGGGAAATGGGCCAACACTGATGGAAGAGGAAATTCTACTGAATTGTGTTTTCTTGAATTTGTAAATAGCAGTAGTCAAGGGACTGCCTCATCCTCCCAAAATACTCTAAGCCCTGCTCCATGCACCCACCGTTACAGAGACCACCTGGACAGCAGGCTGGTGACCAGGAGAGGCAGGTCCAGGCAGTTAGGGCTGATTTTATCAAACCTCAGCCTGAAGGACCTAAGATACTAGGAAACCTGACTCATTCATTTCCTGTAGCACTCACAGATGTGAAGGTTTTCTGTTTTGTTTTCTTAAAGCCTACCCACAATTTAAAATTCAATGCATTGTCACTGAAGACCTGCAGCTCCTTTCCTCACTATCAGAGCCATCTTAACTTCACTTCATTTCCCATAAACTCCCCCCAAAGGGCGACAGGAAGAAGCCAATACTCTAGGGAGGAAGAGTTGGGTAGGATGAAGTTAATGTTTTTAAAAACGTGACCCTGGCCAATGCATAAGGCATGAATCAGAACACCAAGGCAGGAGGCAGGGGGACCCGGGGGGAAGCTTCTGTTTGTCAGCATCTCATTTCTCCCATGAACAGCGATTGTGTGACCGGCATGACGTTCGGCCCTGTGTACACAAGGGATATCACTTCATGGAGTAGTCCGTGTAAATACCATGCAAATGGACACACTGACAAATACGTTAGCACCATTAGTTGAGCAGGGCCCAGAAGAAACTAATATTCCATGTGAGGGGTGAGACAGGAAGCAGAGAATCAGGGCTATAATAAACACTGTAGCCCAGGGACTTTAACAAAGGACCTTTACTTCTCATGGTTCTGACGACTGGGAAGCCCAGGGCCAAGATGCCAGCTGATTGAGTTCCTGGTGAAGACATCCTCCTGGCTTGTAGTTTCCTTCTTGCTGTGTCTTCACATGGTGGAGAGGGAGACCTGATCTGTCCTCTTCTTATAAAGGACGCCAGTTTCATCGTGGGGGCTCCACTCCCATGACTTTACCTATACCTGATCATCTCCCAAAAGCCCCATCTTCAAAGGCCATCACACTGAGGGTTAGAGCTGTAACAGGTGAATTTAGGAAGACACCACCATTCAATCCATTGCAGAGGCTTAGTAGTCTGAACAAATGACAACAGTAAACAGGAGCGATGGGAAAGGCAAGGAAGGAACAGATTCAAAAGCCACTTTAGGGGCTGGGGATTTAGCTCGGTAGCATAAGCGCCTGCCTTGCAATCATGCAGTTGTGAGTTCAATTCTCAGTACAAAAAAAAAAAAAAGCCACTGTAAAGGAACAGTGAGCAGTGAGCAAGACAGGGTGACAGGCTGAAGTGAAAGTCAGAGGTGCTAAGCACACTGGATCCTGATGAGAAACATGAAATGTGGATCCAGTGGAGAAATCTGAGCGTAGAGGGTGGGGGAAGATGGTGAACGTGGCTTCTAATGGTGTCTTCCGAAGAAAAGTCTGTAGCAGTTGCCAAGGCAAGCCTGACACCAGGTGAGAGCTGGTGTCAGCACTGGGGGTTTTAAGATGAGACCTCCATCTCTCTGTGGCCCATTTTGTGGATGAGCCCATAGCCCTCATGTGCACAGAAGGAGACAGGCCTGGAGAAGATGCCTCTGGAGCCCCCTGCAGCCAGTATGCCGCCGTAGGATATTCAGCTGATGACTTCCTGCCTAGAGGAGAAGGGCCTTTGTCCTTGCAGCTGATAGAGCCGTGCCTGTACTGGACAGCAGTTGTGTAGACCCCAGTCCAGGACCTGTATGGGGCTCTTGGGAAGACTGCAGCCTAGCACTGAGAATGTCGTAGTTGAGGGCCCCATTAGTAAACTATCCCATCCAGAGAGGCTGTGTGATAGGCCTGAGCAGGAAAGAGTGATGGGAATGAGGCCAGCAAAAGCCTGGGGAGGAGGCGCCACGCCTGAATTCCTCTACTGCACAGGCAGGAGTTGGGGGAGGTGAAGCCTCACCGTGAGAGAATAGAACATTCTTCAGGTCCTGCCGCCCTCCCAGTGTCCCTTGCCCTTCACTTCCCCACATCTCCTGGTCCTATCCCTCAGGACAGGGTTTCTCACAGCGTCACTTGCATTAGAAGAACCTGGGGTGTTTGTCTTCCTGGGCTTCTCCCCGAAACCCGGAGTTTGCCAAGAACCTGCTTTAGGAAGCAAGTTACAGGTGATCAAGTCGTAGGTGATTCCAATACACACTGATGTCTGAAAATGCGTCACTCCATTAGGGAATCACTTGATGAATTGCTGCTTGTCACATAAAAACTGGTCTTTTTCTCCCTGCTGCCCCTTAAACAGTGTCACCTATCCCATACCTTTAAGTGCCACCTGAATGCTGATGACTTCCAAGTGTCTGAGCAAGGTTTGTGCCCCCAAACTACTTGACTGTCTCCTCATCGGGTCTCTCTGGATGTATAGCAGGAATCTCAGAACTTCATTGCTCTGACAGCGCTCTGGATGAGCTCCCATACACCCGTTCCTGCTGCAGCCTCTGCCACCTGAGTAAAGGACACCACTACTCGGCTAGAAGCCCAGGAGCCACCCCTTTCTGCCCCACCTCTAATCCATCAGGCAGATACCACACTGCGTACAGACAGTGACTCTAGTCATTTGTCATTCCACACACCCCGGCCAGCCTGCTCATGTCCATCACCACCTCCCCTCTGGACCAATTACCCTCTCTGTACCTTTCTCCACTTCCACACCTGCTCCTTAGTCTTTTCTGTGCCACCACCAACCTAATCAGGGCTGCCTAGGTCTCCCCTGACCCCAAATTGGAAAGGCCAGGTCAGAAAGCAGTGGGCACAGAGATGAGACTTGGTTAGCACACGGAAGCCAGTGCCTGCTCAGAACCGCATGTTCCGGCGGAGGAGCTGGGGGAGACCTCAGAGCAGGCGAGGCTGGGAACCAGGCGTCCGCGGTGTGTGCCGTGGTGAAGATGTGCAGGGTCAACAGCGTGTGTGCAGCGCGGGCTTGGCTCAGCGCAGCGTTCCGGGGTATCCTTGGAGAGGACAAGCCAAGGCTTCTGAAAATTTCCTGCCCAGCACCTCCCTCTGTCCACCCTTCACAGTCAGCTCTTGGCAAAAGCAGTGTCCACTCATCGACCTCTTCCAACCGCTTCTGTTCCATTTGCAACTCCAGAGACCCGAGCACCCCAGGTTCTGTAAACCAGGAATGGTTGTGCCATCCAGAGGTCCTGTTCTCCGCACTCTTTAGTCCCCACCTCTCTGGTGAATTTGCCCCCAGGGATGCTCTACCAACTCCTCTATGCTGGTAACTTCCAGGTCCGACTCACTTAGATACTTAGATACACAACTCGCACCTCCCTCTTCCTCCATGGCCAAGCATGAACCTCCATTTCTCCCTTCTGTGTTGCCCATCCTGGTTAACCCTACTCCCTTCCACACGGTCAGGGGATCGTGGAGACCCTGCCTCACCTTCCCCCTTCCCCCAGTGGGAAAGCTGGCCATCAGGTGGCCTGTCGCCTCACCTCTTCAGCAGCCCCTCAGTGACTCCCTCCTCCTTTCCTTCATCCCCACCCAGTTTAGTCCTCATCATCACTGGGATCATGTGCCGCAGCTTCTGCTCAACTTCTTGGCCTGCAGCATCCCTCCCCTCCAAATAACCTACTGCTGACTGAATTATGGGGACTCAATGCAAATCTGGGCTTTTCATTGTGCCTCTCAGTGGTCCTCCACTGCCTGGGAGACAACACTCGGTCTTAGCTTCAACCAGAAGCTTCTTCAGGGTCTCGGTCTCCTTCCTGTTCCGCTGCAGTTTCTTCCCCTTCACGGCCTCCCACCTCCAGCCCTCTCACACCCCTGCATTCCCTCACGTGCTGCCTCTGGGCCTCTGTGCATGTAGCTCCTCCTCCCAGAGGCTCTTCTCACACTTTGCTCCTTCAAGGCAGCTCAAGTGTCCTGCTCTGCAAATGTCTCTGGGCCACTCAGCCCCTGCATGTGCTTTTAATATGGAGCCTGTCATCACTGTGGAACATTCCAGCGACTTCCATCTGCAAGAATGAAATGGTCAGTGTGACACTTTCTCCCTGGTGCCCTCTGTGCCTCAAACAGTGTCAGGTACCTAGCAGTGCGGCACACACATTTGCTGGACTGAACTAAAGGAGTGGAAAGCATGATCTATCACGTTATGCTAAGTGGAGCTTCGAAGACCCTAAAATTGAGTTCTATGGCGGGCGCCATAAGACCTGGGCCCACACTTTGAAGCTGGGATGAAGAGACAGTAAAGAAAGAGACCAAACACTGGGCTGATGCTGCGGAGTGAGGAAAGCAGGTGCAGGGGTATCACATGGAGGGGTGTCTATGAGTCTACTCAGGCTAACGGACTCTCATAGCAAGGTTATTGGTTTGCAGATGCCCCAAGATAAAGAAGAAGAGGCAACAGCCCAGGGCAGCTGCGATTTAGCCCTCCGGAGATCTGGGTTCAGGCTCACCCAGCTCAGGCACCATTTATTCTCTAGATCTGAGTGTTGGGTCAGCTGGGGCTTTGGTCTTCTTGTCAGTCAAACGGAGATAGTACACAAATAGTGGCAAATTTATTCCCTTAATGTCCTGGGCATATTGCCCTCAGTGAATGTACTGGGTCCAGTACTAGTGATGTAGTAGACAGGGCATGTACTAGGTTCAGTACTTTGATGTAGAAGACAGGGTATGGCAAAGCCGGCTGGGGAAATGAGTGGGAGCTGTCAATTACAAGATCCCAGGGCAAGAACTCCAGGACCCGTGTGTAGGACTAGTACGAGCTCCCATGAGATGTGAACAATATTAAACAGTGACCATCGCTAAAAGCTGCTATGATTAGTGTCTCACACGTGGCATGTACTTTTTTATTTGTGCTTTTACCTTCTTTTTCTCTTTGTTCTGTCCAAATTCATTCACCTGAGCTGGTTTCTCCAATACTCATTTACCCCAAACTTTTCAAATAAACTTTTGACACCATTATTGGCTTGTCTCATCCAACTCTTTGTTCGAGGCAAGAAGGACCTGGAATACTTCTGACTGGTGAGCCATTTCTAAAGGAACTATCTTACAACAGTTTCGCCGTGAGCTCTGACTCAGCTCTGTATCCTTGGCACTAGCAGATGCCTAACACATGGCGCTGGGTGTTCAATAAATTTATAGTGACGTAATGAACGTATGAGTGAATAGATTTCCTCCAACCAAGTAAAAGAAGCATTTAAAGAAGCTGAAGAGCTATAATATCCAATATGAGATGGTAACGGTAGTGATGGTTGACTGAGGCTAAGCAGATGCTTGGGAGACATTAAAGAAAGTAGGCTGTACTGGGCTGGGGATTTGGCTCAGTGGCATTAGCACCTGCCTTATAAGCATACAGTTGTGAGTTCGATCCTTGGTACTGATTTAAAAAAAAAAAGAAAAGAAAAAGAGAAAAAAAGGAAAGTAAGATGTACATAATTATGATTTGAAAGTTTATTTTTCAAGCTTGTATCTTTTTCTTAGCTTAATCACATGATACCATGATTGTTGCCTCCCAGACATCTTCACCCTACATTCCAGGCTGTTGTAGGGATGCAGGGTTACAGACCAAGTAAGAAGCCTAACTTGAGGGAATACAATGTGGAGAGAAGGCAGAGGACCAGGAGGACATTCAGCGTCTATGCAGGCATTCCCTGGTGGACGGTCACTGAGTATCTGCTATAGGTGGGCTCCACTCCCCTGTCCCCTCTCTCACACCCCACATTGTGGAACCAATTTACCTGTGCTGTAAAATAGCCTCACTGTCAGAAGGGGTCTCAGAGTCCTCACTGTCAATGCCATTCTTAGTGTACTAACAAGTACCTGAGGCCCAGAGAGCTTGAGCCTTTCAGCTATGAGGGGATGAACGGGAATTGCAAAAGAAGATGAGGCGTCTTCAAATTTCCACCCAGCTTTCCCCCCAAAAGCTCCATGATTGTGTATGAAAAACCTCCATCACAGCTTTGGGAGGGGGAGATTACCCCCATGGCTCTGCAGGGAAAACCCAGGAGCCAGGGGTCCTTTGAAGCCCCAGCCCGGTACTGCCTGTTGTTTTGTCTGCCTGCTGCAGCTCTGGGCAGGCAGAACATTTTCACTTCTGGTCCCCAAGGTGTGAGAATTCATCAGGCCACTGGTTTCCTGTTTTGTACCAGATCTGCTCAAATATCACTGTTTCTAGATCATTTTTAATCACTAAGCACTTTTTAAAAATATACTAATGATACTGCCCATCTGCTTCCCCTTTGAATTTCTCAGACCCCTAGAGAAGAGACAGACGCTACAAATCGTTCTCTGGGCTCCTGTCACCTGGTCCCCTTCACTGAAACTAGCATGGAGATGGAAACTTGAAGAAGCAGAAAGACTTCTCTTGTCACCTGCTCAGCTTTACCAAGGCAGATCTCCATCTATGCATGTCCTGTGTCTAGAAAGGGGTCACTCAGCAGCACAGGGTAGGATGTGGTCCAAGAGGGATGCTCTGCAGAGGCCTAGAGTCTCCAACCTAACTTCCTGAGAAATTCGTGCCTATGGCTAGAATCAGAGAACTCAGAAGAAGCATAGAGTGTCCAAATTTGGCCTGCAAGAAGAACTCATTAAATAGGAGAGAACAAGGTTAATCTCTAGAGAGACTGAATTTCCTAACAGCACCTAGGATGGTTGCTAGCATACTGTAGAGGCAGGATGAATGCATGCACAAAAGTAAGCAATCAATAATTAAGTTATGGGGGCCAGAGAATATTTGTAACTAAAATCAGAACACCGGGCAAATATCTTGAAGAAAACTCTCTGGAGAAATGAGATGCGCGCTGGCACAAAGCATGGGCAGAATGTGCTGTCCTAGAGATCCAGGAGGGAATAAAAAATAAAAAGAAGCAGGAATCATGGGTCATTTGCCTATAATCTCAGCAACTTGGAAGGCTGAGGCAGGAGGATTGTAAACTCAAGGCTGGGCTGGGCAATTCAATGAGACTCTGCCTCAAAGAATGAAGTAAATACATAAATAAATTTTTCTTTCTTTTTTTTTTAAAAAAGGAAGAATAAGGAGTGGGTCAATCAGAAGCTTAGAGTTCAGGATGGAACCTGAGGAGACCAGGGCTGCTGAGAGCCCTGCTCTTCATATGTAGGGACCCAGAAAAGAGGTTAAGTACCAAATGAAGGGAGAAGCTGGTGGCTTGGGGACCAAGGATCTCAAGGTGGCTGCTAACTTGGACTGAGCCTAGAAATCGGTGACAAAGGAGACAAATTCTTGCCTGGCCTGAAGCGAATTGTTTCAGTGCACAGTGAGTCTGTGTGTCTTCCCGCAGGAGGCTGAGGCGAAGCTGAGCACATGGAGTCCAGCCCAGCATGGCACCTCCCCAGAAAACATCAGCCTTTTCCTCCAAGAAGAGAGGTTCGGCTGGACACAGTCCATTTGTGGATCCTGGCTGGATCTTTTCGGGGTCTGGGAAAGGCTGAGCAGCAGTTAGAGTCCTAAACCACTGGGGTCCAGTGGAACTACAGAAATCAAATTATAGAACACTACAGTTTGTCTTTGCATTTCTGAATTGTTTAACAAGCTCCACCTGTGTCCTGGGGCATCTGGTAAACAGTAATACAGAGATTTTTAAATGTTAAAACAGACAAGCTAAAAGCCAGGAAGAGCCTTGGAGAAATAGTCTTATCCTAATTTCTCCACTCTGAGATAGCCACCCAGAGAACAGGAGGGACTAGCCTGGAGTCACTCAGCAGGGCAGGGCAGAGTCAGAACCAGACCCTGGGCAGCATTCAGATCCTACTCTGCTAAGCCTGAGGTCAGGCTGTGTCCATGAGGCTGCAGACTCTGCACAGGCCCCGACGTGAGCAGCTGTGGAGCCATGGGCAGAGCAAGCCTCCTCTGGGAACCTCTGTCTCCCCACATGTAAAGTGGAGCCAATTATAAACCCTGTGTCACAGCATGGCCACAAGGCCCGAAACACCGCAACACGCTGTGTAGACTGCACTGTGCAGGCAGTCTGTCTCCCCTCAGGCCACTACACATGCTTTTGGAGTTATAGCCATCTTCTGGAGTTTCTTCTCCACTCAGCAAGCATTTACCAAGCACCTGCTGGTACGCCTCAGTTTTAGGGCTTACTGGAGATCTATGCACACCACCTAGCCCTGCCCACAAAAGGCTCAGCCTGGTTGGGTAACAGGATGAATGGATAAAACACAGCCATCTCCAACTGGGACCCAAATGGATAGCATGGAGTCTCCTGAGTCCTGAGGAAAGCTGCAGGGAAGACAAGATGAGCCCACCATGGAGACCAGCTGTGGCTAGGAGACACCTGGCTGGTAGACCACAGCTCCAGCTACAGCCCAGAGGGACAGAGAGGCAGGGGCCCAGGGCAGGAGCCCACAGACTGCATGCTTTCTCGACAGCTCCTGGCTCGCAGTACCAGTGGGTCCAAGGAGGGCTAAGCGGGGTGGAGCAGTGCTGGGAAGCCCTAGCAAGGCCGTGGATCCCAGTGTCCAGCCGAGGCCCAGCCCAACACCCTCGCGGCCAGATTTCTATGTATTGGCTTCTTACTCGCTTCTGAACAAGTGGGAATCTGTCCCTTTAGGGGAACACGTGGCACCCTAGGGTGGAGTGCAGCGCCTGGTGAGAAAGCTGTGCAAACAGCGCTGGGGGAAGTAAGGAAAACGATGGGGAGGAGAAGGGACAACAAGGACGTCAGAGGACCCTGAAAGAAGAAGTAGCCAGCTCTCGGTTCCGCTCCTGAGGACATGCACACCACAGGGAAATACCCTTTCCTCTCCCGCGCCCAGCAGCTGTCGCCGAGTCTTCACCTGAAACCACCAGACCTGGCATCGGGACCACCTGGCTAAGGTGCTACCTGCCTTTCAGGTTCCCCAAAGGCTGCCTAGTGTAGAATACCATCAGGGACCCCACGCAGTCCTATGGGGAAAGAGGACCCAGGAACTACGCTGAGCAGCCGAGGGAGATATGGACGGACCCCTGATAGCTTAGAAAAGGGGGCCCAGCCCTCAACGATGAGATCAAAGGAAGAATTTATCTTTCCCAAGAGGCTTTCAAAGAAGACAGGACCAACTGCCATGAAGGGCTCTTCCCCACCCCCACTACTTAGGGACAGAGACCCCAGACAAGCTTTCCATGTCCAGAGCCTCACTTTGTTACCCAGAGCCTGCCCCTGCTGGAACAATGGATCCCAGCCCGGGGGCAGGACAGGAGGAGGGAGGAGCTGGCAAGGCCCCTCTGCTTCCTTCCTCTAGATCCACTACAGCCTGAAGCCAGAGAGAAACAAGGCCACAGGAAAGAGAGGATTGGAGGTCAAGTATACGACAGCCCTCCTCCTTCACTGCTGTCCGGCTGCTGCATTGGCTGCTGTGATGTTAACAGGGGGGACAGTGGCTGGTGATTCTGATGCAGGTTTCTGCAGTGGCATCCCCCTTCTCATACTGCCCCAGGACTGCGGCCTCTCCAGATGAAACAGCTCTGCACGAGACAGAGCCTAGCAGGTCTCAGGCCCGAGGAAGGTGATGACTCAGGAGGACTGTTGTTCTGCCTGCACCAGCTACAGCCCTTCTCAGTTTCCTTCACCCTTATCTGCTTTGCACAGCCTGGCCAGGGTTCTTTTCTCCACCCCAGCACGTCTGACTCTCTTTTTGCCTTATAGGGCAGGGTTTGCATGGGAGACACTGAGCTCTGGGGGATAATGCTCACTCAGAGCCCATGCCCATCCTGTGCCCCATGACCAGCCATGAAGCACCAGAACCTACAAGATGCGACATGTTTCTTGACTTTTCTCAGGATGCCCATCAAAACTGAGAGCTGGCCAAGTCTGGGAGACCTGAGACCTGTCACCACAGGGAGAATAGGCCCAGGCTGGGGATGAGGATGGAAGGCTGGGAGGCAGCAGGTGAGGAGAAGTATAGAAAGTTCCAGAACCAAACACAGAGGGGAACAGAACAGAGTAAAGAGCAAGCTCAGTCTTCAGGGAAGTTGATTTCTGGTGGAAAGGTGAGAAAATCCATGTCCAGAATCACCGCTAGCTCCAGACAACTTTGCCTAGTGACAGTACAGCTGGATTTTCAGCCCTTGGTGTCGATTCTACAAAAACAAACCACGTGGGCCAACCTATGAAGAGCTCTCCTGTGGAATCTAGGGGCCCTGCCCACACTCAGTTTGGTTGAGTGAGTTTGGCTCTCCTTCTGCAGGCTATGGCATTCTAGAGTATCTGTGTGAAAAACTCCTGAGCCCAGACACATCTGTTCCCAGAGTCTGCCTCTGCCCAAAACTCTCATGTGCAAGCTGGTAGGGTATCCAGAGAATATCCCTTATTCTCCATATATGGAGGCCAGGCCAGGTCTTGAGGGCCCAGGAAGGGAGGGCACTGAGATGGGATGGGTTCTGAGCTAGAAGCCTTTTCCTGCAGAAAAGAAATGGAGCGTGAAAAGTAAGAAGGCTTGGGAAAGGTTCCTCTAAACCATTTTACCTGGCCAGGCTTCTCCCAAGCAGGAATGAGCGGGGGTGATAATCTCATTGGGTTCTGAGTGATCCTTAGTGCAGGTTTCAGTGTCTGGATCTTCTTGGGACCTTACTTAGACATTAGACTCTCTCAGGGGCTCTCTACTTTCCCACTCACTTTTAGGCTCCAGGTGGCAGATGCCACCCCCATCAGACTAGCCCATTGGAGAACTTCATGTAACCACCATCTGAACTGCTTATGTGGCCACTGATGGTGAAGGGTCCAGTCTCCAGGTCCTTCAGATTCCTAGAAAAAGAGCATCCAATCAAGCTTCAGCAGCTCAGAACCTAGTCTCTCCCTGGGTTCCCTCCTCCCATACTAGAATTTAGGAAGAAATTCCATCAGTGGGGAGACTTCCATGCATAGAAACTTAAGCCTTGGACAGGACTAGGTGGAACCCCAATGACAGTGATCCTTTTAGCATTCACTCATATCACAGAATATCTATCCACCCCACTGTTGATAAGATTCACCCCCAAACAGTATTCACCTCATTTCCTAAGGCCAGAGGAGGAATAGGCCACTCGGGCAGCAAAGAGTAGGTGAAATGACAAGAGGACCTCCTAGCTCATGCTTCCTGGGTCTCTGACTTTCTCCAATTTCTCCCCTTTTATGATATGGTGCCTGAGGTTACATTATTTGTCATCAGGCCTGTCTCCAGCATAGACAGTGAAATGTTTGAGGACAAAAGCTATGCTCAGCCATCTTCATGTCCTTAGAAAAGAATACCACAGTGCTGACTGCAATAGAATCTTACTGAGAAAGGACAGATGGGTAGTTGGATGGATGAGTGGTGGGATGGATGGATGGTTGGATGAATGGGTGGTGGGACGGATGGGTGGTGGGACGGATGGGTGGTGGGACGGATGGGTGGTGGGACGGATGGGTGGTTGGACGGATGGGTGGTTGGATGGATGGGTGGTGGGATGGATGGGTGGTGGGACGGATGGGTGGTGGGACGGATGGGTGGTTGGATGGATGGGTGGTTGGATAGATGGGTGGTGGGATGGGTGGTGGGATGAATGGGTGGTGGAATGGGTGGGTGGTGGGATGGATGGGTGGATGAATGGGTGGTGGGATGGAAGGGTGGTGGGATGGATGAGTGGTGGGATGGAAGGGTGTTTGGATGGATGGGTGGTGGGACGGATGAGTGGTGGGACGGATGAGTGGTGGGACGGATGGGTGGTGGGACGGATGGGTGGTGGGACGGATGGGTGGTGGGATGGCTGGGTGGTTGGATGGATGGGTGGTTGGATGGATGGGTGGTGGGATGGATGGGTGGTGGGATGGATGGATGGTTGGATAGATGGGTGGTGGGATGGGTGGTGGGATGTATGGGTGGTGGGATGGGTGAGTGGTGGGATGGATGGGTGGTGGGATGAATGGGTGGTGGGATGGAAGGGTGTTTGGATGGATGGATGGTGGGACGGATGGGTGGTGGGATGAATGGGTGGTGGGATGGATGGGTGTTTGGATGGATGGATGGTGGGACGGATGGGTGTTGGGATGGATGGTGGTGGGACGGATGGGTGGTGGGACGGGTGGGTGGTGGGACGGGTGGGTGGTGGGATGGATAGATGGATAGATGGATAGATGGATACATAGATGGACAGATGGATGGTGGATGGGTGAATGGACAAATGTTCCCTACCTGAGAGTAAATGGTAAAAAGATTTCTATCAAGGTTCCACATGACCCAGTCCATGTTCAAATCTTATGTGAAATTTTCTAAAAGGATTTTCTTTGGGTTTTCATGGGCACACAGAGAAGAGACAGGGAAGGAAAATAGTAATTTATGGCTCTGTTTTTGATTCTTCCTTCATCACTTTTAACCCTCCGTGCCCACTCCACCCAGATCTGCCCTGGAGCTACTCACCGGATTTGGTACAAATTGAAGACAAAATTAGGACCTAGGAAGACAATGCAAAAAACAAAATAAACAAACAAAAACAGTTAGTGTCTCCAAGGAAATCTGCTGTGACTCTTTCAGAAATATCTGAAATTCCTTAAACCCTACTTGGAAGAGTGGGAGATGGGGTTGGCCTCAGGATGCTATGGGAGAGTCCCATTTCTTTCAAGGCCTTTCTGTTAGGAGGCCCAATACCCTGAGAAGGAGATTGTCTCAGTCTAGAGCCCCAAAGAACCAGATCTAGGCTTAAATCCAAATTCTACCACTTTTCAACCCTGTGACTTTAATCTCATGTCATCTATTTTTTAAAAATCAAAGCTCTAATAACTGCTTCCTCACATGGAATTTTAAAGAAAATCATATTAAGCTTAAGTGCATTGGCACATACAAAGTTCTTAAAAATGGAATATCTGTTAAAATTAAACGCACAGCTGGAAAGTTTTCTCTCTCTTGGCACCCTAGCTTGCTCTTCCAGCTTTCCCAGGGTCCTGTGAAAAGTACAAGTCTCAGAGTTAAGAACAACAGAGCAAATTCCAGGAGACTCCCAGGGAAGCTGGAATATCAGCAAGCTTAAAAGAGGGCCCTAGACTCATGGACAGGGGCAGGAACACACGAGGGGCCACACTAGGGCCAGTGGAAGCCTGTTGTCCTTGGCCTCAGAGCACACAGAGATCCCTCAAATGGACTCCTGTGTGCTGTGAGGCAAGAGGATGCCAACTGCTTCGTGGGGTGGGAGGAGCACCCATTCCCTGGATAAAGGCCCCACTGCCCCACCCAGCCACTTCTATCGCTTGGCCACCCACTCAAGTCTTCAACCACTGCAACCACCACAGGAAACATGTTTGCATCCCGTCACGCTGAAGGGCTTGCTGCTCCTCCCAAATCTGTCAACTGCTACATAAGCTAGGGTGGGGCAGACCTGGGGTGACAAGGCCCAGTGCCCACTCACCCTCCCAGCAGTACCCACTCCGGTACCACTTGGCCAGGCTGTAGCCAAGGATGGACACGAGCAGCAGCGACAGCCCCACACCGAGGATCAGGCCCAGGGTGCTGATGGAGTCCTCACCTGTGGAGAGACACAGGGTCCTTGAGGCATCTCACAGCCCACCTTTCCTCTGTTCACTCCCCACTGCCCCCCAAAACAACTGATCCCCAAAAGTCCTGATCTGAGCCAGTCAGTTCAACCCAATCCAACCACACTATTTGCATATGATGTGAATGTCAGAAACCTGGCTATTTAAAGTGAGCTCCTGTGGTATTTGGAGCATATCAGACAAGTTGGAGTTGGAAGGTCTTCCTGAAGCCACAGCCCTTTTATCTAATGGGAAAGGTGCTGCCTGCTTGGAGAAGACCATGAAAAAAATCTAGCCTCAGTCTGAGTGTGGTGGTCAGGAGGGGTAGCCTGGAGACCCCCAAGAGCACAAACCCAAAGAACTTCTGTCTCCTCTCTCTTTAGAAAAATGCGTGTACCCAGTAACAGGGTGCTAACCCCCAGGCTCTGGCTGCTTCTGGTGCTCACCCCTTCTTCTCTTTTTGCGGTATAAATTCTTGGTTAAATTTATATTTTATTTTTAAGACAAAGCTGAGAGAGAGAAGCAGAAAGAAAGCTACAAATCTGCAGGGAGATGAGAGACCAGTACAGAAGCAGAGTGCATGACCAGTTTCCAAGAAAGACGCTGACAGTGGGCACCCATGTGGCACCCTGTCTCTGCCAGACAGAGAAGGAAGGAGAAGGCCAGCCCCATTCCTCACCAGGGGGGCACCAGCAGTGTTGCCAAGAGGCCAGAAGACACATTGGTCGAGCCCAGACCTTGGGTGCAAGCCTGTATCTGAAATTCAGCTCTGTCACTTGCTAACTGGGACCTGTCAGCCCCTTTATTTGGCTAAGCTTCAATGGCTCTGACAGAAAATGAGACTAAAAATAAATGCACAGAGATGTTGTGATAATTAATAAAAATGCTGGAAATAGAGGGCACTTAGTGGTCGGCTGGGCATAACCTAAGTGCTCCACAAATATCAATTATAATGTTATTAATTTTGATACCATTATTATCAAACATTGCAAGCATATTGCAGCTCCCTAATTGGCTGATAATCAAGATCGAGTCCAGATGACGGCTATCACCATCGTGTCAGCGGAAGTCACTGCCATCAAGGAATATTCATGCCTTCATCCTCCCTCCTCCAAAATGGGGGAAGCAGGGACTCCCACAGCTACTGAAACACACATCCTGCCTTCTGCAAAGATGGAGACTAAAAATAGAAATTAGAGTTTAGAAGAAACAAAGTTTCATTTTATTGCACCTATGAGTTTGTCAGTTGAGATTGTGCTTGCTACTAAACTGTTCACAGGTGCCCTCCCACATCCCTGTTCCCCAGTGCCCTTTGTAGCCAGGTGCCTGCCGGAAGGATCACAGCAGGAGCAACTCAGGAGGCAGATGCTGAGGATGGCATAGCTGCAGTCTCTGTGGATTCCTGCGTCCCCACGTGGAGAGCGCCCCTCCCAGACAGGAGCCTCCACAGGGACTAGTGGGACTAGGAGTAAGCTTCTGTTGCATCTCAGCCATGGTTGGTGCGGATCTGTTTGCTACAGCAGTTGAGCCCACCTGGTCAGTGCACCTCCTAGTGCTGGCTCCTCCCAGATCCTCCTCAGTTAGAAGCCAGGTAAAAGGAAGAAATCCTAGAAGACAACATCCCGGGCGGTGGGGAAGAATCTCGGCTGACACCAGCACCGATTTAAGGGCCAGTCTGTCCAGGGTGGCTATCTCATGAGGGCAGACCCCTGCTGAAGGGATTAAAGACCTTCCGAAAGGGGTGGGTGGAAAGGGTTTATTCTCCTCTGCACTTCAGCCGTGTGGGAACATGCATCCATTCCCTCCAGAGGACGTGACCCATCAGGCTCCATCTTGAAGCAGAGCGTCCCCTCCTCCGATACCAAACCTGACAGCACCTTGATCTTGGTCTTTTAGGCTCCAGAACTTCTGTTATTTTTGGTATAGCAGCAGAAAAGGACTGAGGGCAGAAAAGAGCTGGGGAAGCCGTGGCCATGGAAACAGAAGGTGCCTGGGTGGGGCAGCCACAGGCGGGGAGGGGACTGGAGTGACCTCCTGTGAGCCCAAGCCGCCGCCAGTCATTCTGAAAGTAAGTGATCTCATCTCCTCTGCCCCCAACTCTGTTCCAGGCTCTTGTGTTACAGCAGTAAATAGAAGAAATAAAAACCCCTATCCTTATGGAGATTGCCCTAGTGGACGGAAGCAATGAACAAAATGTAAAAATAAACTATGGAACAGAGAGACCATTTGATCTCCTATCTTTTTTTCCTGCCATCTTAAATAATTAGAAAACTAAACAAAGTATGTAAAATAGTGGACAAGATGGTATAAGGCAGTGATTCTGAGGAAGAGGTGAATAAGGAGAGCTCTGAGATTGCCCAGCTTGCTGCCAGCATGAGTTTCCAACACCCAGGACAAGGAGGAGGATCCCAGAGAAAGTTCAGTTTAATCTAAATTAAGCAGACAGAATTTGGAATGAAAGGAGACCAAGACATCAAGAATTTACAGGACAAATCACCAGAGCAGAGGGAGCTGGACAAAGAGTGATTTCTAGAGTCAGTCAGCAAGAGGGATCCCCAAAATCTTGGGCTGTGGCTTGTCTCTTAATTTTGCTAATGGTGGCTTTTGTAAGCAGAAATTTTAATGGACTTTGGCCATATTTGCAGCAGGGTTTTTGAATCTCAAGAAATGGATCACTACTCCAAGGTGTACTCCTTAATTTTCTTCTAAAAGCTTTAAAGCTTTGTTTCTAATAGTTTGAATTTTAATTTTTGTGGAATTCATTTTTGTATGTATTATTTACATAATTTTTATGGAAAATTATTGTCTTTTTTCCTTCCATAATCTTCATTGTTCAGAGGGCCCTTCATTGTTCAATAAGGTGTGACTCAGTGTCTGTGTGTACAGAGTCTGCCTGAGGCCCAGAAGGGCATCATCTGAAAGAGGATTTGGGGACAGTATCTAGTATTTACATAGGACTGAGAATGGTCCTCATCCCTGTGAGTCAGACTGGAAAAACACGTGAACCACAGGGTATGAGATGGAGAACTCAGGAAGACCTTACCTTGATAGTGGGGGAAAAAACTAACCCAAAGCCAAACCAAACACTGCTCTAGATCCACCTAACATCATAAAAACAAGACCAGAAAGCATCAAACTTTTTCCAAGTAATTGAGCTATTTCTCATAACATTTACAGGCAAACAAAAATATCCAGAAGTCAGCAAAGTACAATCCACGATGTCTATATCCAACTGGGTCAATATGTCAAATAGAATGGATGGACTCAGTCACCCAAATAAGTGGGATTAACTACATTAGCGAATATAACATGAGTAAATAAATAAAAGCATGGAACAAAAACCCTGCCCAAGAGTAAAATAGTATTCAAGAAAGAGGATATTTCTAAAATGTATTTTACTCTCTAGAATCAGTTAATAAAATATTTCATTAAAGCACAGAAAGATTAAGAAAATGAACAGGACAAAATAATTTTAGCATGAAGATAAAACTTTTTCAATATAAGAAGCAAAGGATAGACTAGGCTAGAGTAGAATAGACATCATTAAAAACTAAATTAATGAAGACCCCAGAAAATAACAACTTGGAGAAGGAAGGAAGGAAGGAGAGAGGTGGGTCCTTGGGACCCAGGAAGGACCTAAAGGGAAAATTGTAGCCCACAGAGAACTCAAAGAGACAGACCCACAGTGCAAACCAAGAAAGGGCAACCTGCACTTTCCCTGGATCCTGGCTCATGTTGTGAGAAAGGAAGATGAAATCTACAGAGACACCGTGAAAGCAGGTGACTCCAGAGGGCTCCCCCAGAACAGAGCAGTGAGTGCTGTGTGCTACAACACCTGGTGAGTTACCCCAAGGCAACTGCTGTGCAGTCCTTGGTCAGGTGCATCTTAGGGGGGAGCAGTTGAGCCCAGACTGCGAGCAGCTGCAGGTCAGCTTCATCTCAGGCCTCCCGGTGTTAAGCTGCCACCATGACCGGGTGAGGGGGAATCACAGGAAGCATCCCTGGTCGGGGAGACGTGGGCAGACCCACAAGGACACCCTAAGTGTTATAAGCTAAATGACTCAAGAGCTAACTCCATTCCCAGATGTTGGGAACTCCAGAACTTCTGTGGGTTTGAAAGTCCCAGAACCAGCACCAGACCCTAATCCCGCTGCTAGCTTGCTGTGATTATCAAGCCCATGTGGACACTGACCACCTACTTAGCCTACCAGCAAAAGCAGAGTCACACCTTGAAATGGATACTGCTGTGAAACTGTAGGCCCCAGAGGAAACTCGTAGGCTTGAAATCACAAAAAAACTTCTTCTCTTGTTTTTTCTTTTTTTTTAATTTTGCTTCGTTTTGCTTTAGGGTTGTTTTGTCTTTTAAATTTTTGTTCATTTGGTTTCTCTTTCCCTCTGATCGTTGGCTTCTGTTTCCTTGTGAGGGCAAACATTGCTTGTGATTTTTGTTTTCTCTCTGTTTTTGCTTTTTCATTCTTTCCTTCCCTTTAATCTTTACCGGTCTCTCAAGCTTGGGTAATCCTCCCCTGCCCCTCAACCCTGATTCTAACCTCTTTCTTCTTTTATTTATCTATTTTTCCCTCTCCTGCCTTGACATTTTCTCCCCTTGGGGTAAAATTGCTCCATTGAGTACATATTTACTGCATGTAATGTTCTGGTGTGTCTTAGATTTTGTTATATAACTATAAATCTTATACATATAGTTAAAAGTGACAAATTATTGGTTATTATAGTTTGTCATTTTTCAGTGTGTGTTTGATACTACTTTTTTTTTGTTTGTTTTTACTGATTACACTCCTTTAGCCAAGCTTACATAGTTGTTGTGATCTTCCGTGTATGACAATAGATTGTCTGGAGGACATACAGAAAACTACCAGTCCAGAACCAAAGAACCAGGCGATCGGTCAAACAGGCTGTGACTCTCACTCCTAATAAACAGAAGAGGCAGGATCCTGGCACAGACTCAAAGGCCAAGAGCCAGCTGCTCATAGGCGACACCTCTGAAAAGTAGTCATTTCCTAAGGAGGTCTTGATACTAGTAATAAAGCTACCCACCATCAGCACTTTATAAGTATTAATACAGAAAACAAATTTTAAAAATAGAAAATGAGAAAAAAGAGAAGCAAGATGCACCCCTAGACTTCCAGGTCACCCAAGGCAAATTCAGGGGGTGCTGAGGTGGGAGAAATTAAAGCCACCCAGCTGAAGTTTCTGAAGTATAGCAGAAATGACAAAGCAGATGAATGAGTCCTAGAAAAAAAAGAAATAATTGCACAAATAATTAAACATGATCATAATGCAGGACATGGTTATTGTGTCTAGAGTAGATACAGATTTTTAAAAATTTTATTTAAAGAGAAAAAAAGCAAAACAGAAAAAAGGGTGGCAACAATACAGAATTCCAAAGAAAAAAAGAAAAAATAACACTAAGAAATCACTAGTTCATAAATTACATACTGTCATCTTAGAAATAGTTGTTCAAGTTACAAAATCAAAGCATACAAAGTAGACATTCAAACAGTGAGACTGCAAACAGTTCTGCTCCACAATCCAGCAAAAACTTAGTAATATGGTCATCTGTCTTACACACTTAAACATACATGCAGTTATATCCTTTAGAGCACTTTCTCTTCCTCTCTTTTTTACAATAGCAATTACATATTTTGGGTTTTATTACTCCTACAGTTCTTATTATTTTTATACTACATACAGAATGTGATAT